AAGTGCACTTAATCCTAGTAACTCCCACGTGTTCAATATCATTGATATTAAAATCGCACCAAAACTACTGAACCGTAACAGAATGCCGCCAGACTTCCTATTATAGGGTTATTGAACACAATGTCGTCGCAAAACATCTGTTGTATATACTGACCTGTAACTAAAGCGAAAGTTGATTACCTACTGTATGGACAGTGCGAATATGCCTTTAAAGTAGAATTTAGTTTTGCATTACCCTATTTTTATGTGACAATTATCTTACACAAGATTCTTAGTCAAATGTAATGCATGTCCATTTTTTACTTCCACCTGTATTAATATTTTAGTAACAATAACACGCATTCACCTTGTCATTTTTACAAAATTTGGGAGTTGGTACAAAGTAAATACACGCAGTACTGTAGATAGGTAATTATTTGCAATTCCCTATGCTAATTATTGTAATTGCAACGAAATGGCAATTATATCATATCACGGCACCTCCTGGACAAATGTTACCTACTCGTAAAGTAAACAGAGCATTTCAGATACTCGAATTACGCAATTTATAATTGGAAGAGAGGTAAGGTCAAAAAGTTGTAAATCAGAAATTGAAAATTGAAATTACTTTTATGCAACACGATGCGTTATGAAAGACTCTTTTCAAAGCGTGAAAACCATGTCAATTATCATACATAATATATAATTTTCACACAACTTCAATTTAATTTTATATCGCTTTTTCGTATTCCCAATCAGTATTATTAGAACTAGGTCTGTTCATTAGCATTTTACACAATCATAATGTACACTTAAAATAGCTGCCGATTAGTATAATTGCTTTGAGTATATTTTAAACATTAATTAATTAAGCTGGCTCAATTCATGCATTATAAATTTAACGTTGTTAGTTGAGAATTAGGGGTCCTCAACGATAAATAGGGAAATAGGGATGGATAGGGTGTGTTTTTAGATATGAAGAATTTACAATGAGGGGTGCAGTCTGAAAACTGCCCATATTGGTGATCTATTTCCTCCCTTCAAGTTATTCTAATGGTAAGTATTGTATTTACCATTTTAATGAGCGGTTCAGGTTATTATTAAAACCTAGTCACGCCTCTTTAAATGTTGTAACGTATACATTATTGATGATTAATTTATTACTAAACATATGAATTAATAAAAGAATTTTCTTTTAAAACTTGTTACAGAAAAAAAGACATAATGAAGCAGGAAGAGTTTAAATTTATGGCGTATTTTCTTAAACGTTACCTAATTTAATTGGGTATACATTTTTATGGGATGTCATTTTCCGCTTTCTCCCCGATACCGAATTCTCATTAATATCCCGTATCTCATTCCAATCTGTGTGATAATCTCCGGATTAAATTTAGCCCATTTTACTATAATAACGCCTAAGATTCGTAATAATACGGATGGTTGCAATCAAAGTTATACCAGAGTGTTAACTGTTGAATTATGGACAAATTATTTTAATTTGGAAAAAGAAAGTTCAAGTGCAAAAGTTTGATCCATCGGCAATTTAAAGGATGACAGAAGCAATACATACTTGTTTTCTTTTCACGTTGCAAATAAAATTTATAAGTATTGTCGCTTTCGATCAGCATTCCTCATATAATAACACCATCTGCCTGATATTATCTTTACGTCAGTACACCTTTATACAAAATCCCGCCGATTCGGTAAATAAATTTGGCTGTTGCTCGATGGACTAGAAAGGCACGATCGAACGGACAGGATCTACGTAAGTCCAGCATTTACAAACAACAATATTGTGTAACGCAGTGTTTCCATATAAATTTTTACTTCCTCGTGAACTAGTAACCTTTTACTACTACGCTAGATATCAGTACCCCGTACTACTTCCCGTAGTTTACAATTGCCGAGCAGTTTTTCACACAGTTTGCACTTTTTTTACAAATAAACCTGTTTATATTACGGGAAGCAAAGGTACACATGGTTTACGCAACATTGTTATTCTGCAGAGATCGATCAACGATTTTGCGCATATCTTAGTGGTCACATTAAACTAGACACTGTTCTTATTCCTATTCCCAATAAGGACTGGTATTAAAGGGAAGCCCTGGTATGCTTATGGGCTTATGGTCAATGGTTTGATCGTTGGGGGCAGTCTTCAATGATTGGTTTTATTTTATGAATAAGTAGTTTTGACATAAGTAAGGGATACTAAGCTCATGTGCCGGTATGATGATACATCTTCTAATGCTTTACCAGGTTTTGGCATAAGGATGATTTCTGCCAGTTTCCATTGCTAATCTGAAGGTAGCATTGTAGACCGCTGTTAAAAGTTTTATTGTATTAGTGGCATTCCCTTACGAATTTTTGCATGTATTAAAATAAACATACTTGGGGTTTTTTAGAGTTTAGTTCTGTTTTAATGTATCTGGTTACCTGCTTGCCTGAGAAGTATGGTAGATACTAAATCCCGTTCTCCCTGTGAACTTTTTTTGTAGCTTTCCATAAGGAATATTCTGTTTGTTGCTTCTGACTGTGATAAATCTTTGAGATAACGCTGTATTCTTTCGATTTAGTAGTTTTTATATAGCTCCTGTTAAACGCAGTTTTGTCCTGGGGGTATCGTGTGATCTGCTACTGGTGGTTTAAGAATCCCGTTGGTAAGGGTTGACTTGACTAACATTTCCTGTTGATGGTAGACTTAACTATTGGTAGCGCGTAAGCCATATTTATTTTGTCTTATTTTAGTGGGAGAACATCGTGTCGTGAAATCTTCAAAAGTAAAAAAATTACCTTTGTACCTAGTCACCAAATTATGGCGGTGTAAAATGCTTTAATAAGTTTTCAGTGATCCGAAAACTATTCAAAATGAATGTATATTTAAGGGAGAAGTAAAAATGTTGCTACTCAATAATTGTTTCTACAAAGTGAACGTTTCTCACTTTTACTGCACATCGTGTAAATGTTCTTGCCTAATTTGTTCCATAGTAATGATTGAAGGTATATGTAGGCATGGCCTATAGGCCATGTATGTAGGTATATGTATATTTTAATAGTTTATTTTATGTAGACGCACACATTGCAAGTACCTAAGTAATTCTAAGAGTGCAAACATTATTGAGCACAATATAGGTTGTTCTGTACAAGTTTTTAACGTTGTGGGGTTCAGATCTAGGAACGAAACTGACATTTAGTTGATAGCGATTTATGAAGAATGTGAGAAATAATATAAGCAACACTTTCCTATGCACTTCTATGGAATGTATATGCCCATTGTTAAACATCAAATTTAATTATTAATGGTTATGACAGAACTGCATTTATTTTTTATTTCAACAATTACTGAAATTAATAGAATTAATAATAGAATCTATGTTACAAAAGGGAATTTACTTTGTGAAGGAGAGCTCTTTCACAAAATTTCGAAAAAGCTCAAATAAATCAAAACCCGTGCGATTTATAGGTTCTCTTACACCAAACTTACTCTAAAGTTTGCGTAGGATTTAAAAAAAATGAATAAAAATTAGGGCATCGCATTGAAAATAACTATAAACCATGATATAAATTATAATTTTCCCCCGTATAATATATGAATGAAGTGAATTTATTTACTACAATAAAAATCCATTAGTCGATGGTTATAGAGACGACAAGGACAAGTATAGGTAGTGGATGTGTCAAATTTCGTCTTTTCTTTCAATAAATTTGCTTTATTTCACAATAACGTAGGCAACTTTACACACTCCGTTTAGGAGTGGCTACTTTCAGTCGATACTTCGATAGTACAAATTGAAAGACTTCTCGATTTAAACCAACGTAATCTTTTGTAAATGCTTCAAAGCTTTGTAATGAAGCTTTTTTATAAAGTTCTGATTGCACTATAATATACGACGACGCATAATTATGTTTATTGGAGATGTGATACACATGCAATTTGTCCTTTATCACGATTGCTTTAATTAGAAATTTGACAAAGATCGAAATTAAGAACTTCAGGTCTAACAATTACTCAAAAGTAATGAAAATTGTACATATTCTCACGTTATTTAAAAACAGTGAGCCAATGAGAAAGGTACAGAAGAGTCCTTTTAAATAAGCCTATTCAAATTACTAATTTCTAACTATTGGCTTAATTAATTCAAATCCTAAGGCTGTAAAACATCATAATATATTAGAAATAATTAACAAATATGCAGGCTGAAAGTGGAATTTTGTCAGCTGCGATAATTGATATATTCACAAGAATTAGCATTAGGACACCGACCTGGCGTGGTTCGACATTTTAGAAGCTGCTTGAAGTTGAAGTATTAACAACAGAAAATGTTCGTCCGATACCCTAATTAAGAAAGTAAAAGTAAAGAATATCTAGAATCTGTAGCAAGTTTTTTACTTCATTGGATTAAATTGGTAAAATGGTGATTCATTCACATGCCGCTCCAAAGAAGTCGCCTAAGCCCGTTACACGAAGTTGTAAACTGGTTAATTTTTTACGAACGCCCATAACCTATCGCTCGCAAAAAATACATTCATACGCAACAATTAGCCTTTGGAAGTTGCAATCCAGCAATTACAGATGTGTAGTATACTATTTGCACTTCAATTAGGAGATTAACCTAAATTACATTAAAAAAGCATCAATTAAACTTGCAAAATATGCAACTCGATCAGCACGTTATACTTTTTTCTAAACGGACGAATAAGTTTTAAACAAAGGTTCCTTTTTGGTGCAGTTAAAACTAATTACAACATTTATAGGCTAAATTTTACGTTGCTAAATATTGTAAAAACTTTCACGGTTGATGACTTTTAGGAACAAATATGAGAAATAATGCAATTTAATACACAACAAAAAATTCCCTGAAATTAAATAGGAGTAATTTAATTATTTAACTTATGGACACGCAAGTATTATTAAATCGGTATACAATAAGAAAGAATTTGACAAATGAAGGTGTTACAGTTCGCAAAACTATACGAGCACCGATGCGATAACTTATGTGAACGTATAGAATCGCGAGATGCACCCGCCCAGTGAAAGTAAATCATAATAACCCTCACCATATTCTTTGTGTATAAAAACACAATTTTAAAGGGGTAACAACATCATTTGACTTTCATCCTCTTCCACACGCAGACATGAAGCCTTTAGTGGTAAGCCTACTAAACAATTTCAGTCGAACGTAGTGTCAACTTCCATATTTCAGATTTCGGCCCTTATACTAGCAACAATTACTGTAAGCAAATGTGAGAAAGAAAAGCGTGGACTTATCAGTGGTGGAGATATCGGTTATGGTGGCCACTCTGGAGGCGCATCGATATCACTGGGAAGCGGAGGACATGGGGGATTTAGTGGCGGTCACTCATTAGGAGGTGGATTTAGTGGCGGATATGGTGGCGGATATGGTGGCGGATATGGCGGTGGATATGGTGGTTATAGTGGTGGATACGGAGGTGGTATCGGAGGTGGATTGGGAAGTGGCATCGGAGGTGGATTGGGAGGTGGTTTTGGAGGCGGGTTCGGCGGAGGATTGGGTGGCGGATCAGGAGGAGCCACTATAACCACAATTAACCAAGCTGTCCCAGTGCCAGTACCACAGCCAGTTCCAGTAACAGTAAATCGACCAGTGCCCGTGCCTGTAGCACAACCTTACCCAGTTGCTGTACCACGACCCGTCCAAGTTGAAGTACCTGTACCGCAACCTGTCGTAGTTCCCAGACCAGTTCCAGTGACTGTAGCGCGACCTGTACCAGTAGCCGTTCCTCAAGCTGTTCCATACCCAGTCGCTCAACCTGTCGGTGTACCAGTACCACAGCCCTACCCAGTGACCGTTCCACAACCAGTTCCAGTTAGAATTCCTCAACCTATTGTTGTACCAGTTGCACAACCTGTAATTGTCGGTGGAGGAGCCGGTGGAATTGGAGGAGGTGCCGGAGGTATTGGTGGAGGTATTGGTGGGGGAGCTGGTGGTTTTGGCGGTGGAATTGGAGGAGGATTCGGTGGAATTGGAGGAGGATTCGGTGGAATTGGCGGAGGGCATGGTGGATTTGGAGGGGGATATGGTGGCAGTCATGGTGCCATATCCATTGGAAGTGGACATGGAATTAGCGAAAGCATCTCTCTCGGCGGCGGCCATGGTGGCTTTTCCGGTGGACAAGGAGGCCTAATCTCACTTGGTGGGTATGGAGGCGGTCACGGCGGCAGTAGTTTTGGAGGTAGCCAGTCTTCTTCAGGAGGATACGGTGGTCACGGAGGTGGCGCATCTAGTTACTCAAGTATTTCGTTCGGAAAACACTAACTGCTTTAAACGAAATAATCATCCTGCACGGTCCACGAATTTTCATTTTGTCATTCATCATTATATTGTGATATGCTAGTATGGAACTCTAGTGTTGTTATTTTTAATTGTAACATTCATTTATTGTAAATACGATAAAAATTTAATAAACTCTATTTTCTTTATTATTGCTGTTTGAACAAAATATGGAAGATGATTAATTATTAGTAATATTAAACTATTAATATAATATTAATTATTATTAATTATCAATCAATTAATTATCAGTTATTAATTAATTTTGGTACAGTAAACAAACTTCAATAGTTTTTCCTAGTTTATTTATAAAAAGTGTAATAACACGCAAGGTACAGTGTAGCAAATTGCAAAAAAATGTCCTTAAATGTGCGAAGGCACCAATTACTTCCTAAAAGGAAACGTGAAAAAATTTCACTTGCTTATGCTATATTGCTATAGTAACTTTTGTAAGCGTAATAAGTCGATTACGAACCGAAGAAAGTGGGAATCACCATATTCGACACCGCTCCTTGTTTGGATTCATATTACTACCAAGAGGACATTTAAAAGCTTCAGAGAATTCATGCGAATTTTGTAACGTTCCGATGACCCGTAAGGAACTGGGGCAATGTTCGTCATTCTCCAGTTGAGATTTTAACGATTCGGGATCAATAGATTCGCACCATATCTAGGATACAGGTTGATAAGGTCAATCCTTAATACAAAGATACATACGCTTCCATAAGCAATAAAGAACAACTGCATGTTTGAGAAAGCCTGAAATCCGGGCAGTTTGGGTTCTTCGCCCATTTTCTTGACCACATTTTTGTAGGCTAGATAGGCGTGGTGCAGTCCTCCGTTATCCGCCAAATTTTCACCTAGCGTACGTTGACCGTCCACCTTTTGTTCAATGGAGGAGAGTGTAAAGTTTCCGTACTGTTTTATGAAACACTGTGATTTATTCTCGAACGTCTCAATCGTCGTATTACTCCACCATTGCTTGTAGTTTCCAAATTTATCAAATCTTCTTCCTTAAAAATTAAACAATGCAGGATTATACTGCTCAGCCAGCGACAATACTATGATATTAAGTGTTTTCAAGGGATTACAACATAACAACCACACGTGGTGGATAGATGTGGAAATGCGCGTCAGGTATACATAGAATCTTCAAAAAGGTCAATTTATAGTTTAAGAAAGGACCCGACCCGTCTTGGAATACACTCCAAAATCGGAGAGAAGACCGCAGGAAACAACTAACAGGGCAAGAAATTTAAAAAGAACGCCGTGTATACGAAGTTGTTGGTATTTGTGAGGGGAACGTGGACATCCGGTGTTTTTACCATAATTCGGGTATGCTGAATCAGTAACTAAAGCCTTGCCTAGGCCTCCTAGGTCAACAAGTCATCTTGCACTCTATCGGAGGTGACGTCCTTCGTGACGAAATTATGAATTTAATTCATAAACATTTGCAACACCCTGTACACTAAAAACAATTGAGGGAAATTAAAATGTATCATGTGATTTCGAATTCTCAGAATGTGCTTTATTATTTTGATTTATTTCATCAAATTACCCTCAGTTATAACGAAAAATCGGAATTAAAGGCAAGAGTTTGACCACCATTTTGGTTTGCCGAATTTGAGGCCAAAGAGGTCAAATTCAGCTGGGCACAGTGGACCTACAATCGCACGTAACAAGCCTATTGGCAATTCCAATGACCCCGTAGGGTCACATCCAAGTGCTCTGTCGCTTTTTTAGATCCGTTTAGGGGTGTATTATTGTTATGAAACCTATTCGTCTAAAGCTTGTAAATTGCATCATGAAAGGTCAAATATCGTTTGTTTATAACTCTTTCATACTACTATGGTGCAGAATTTACGTATTCAACGGCATATTACCTATATTATCAAAACCGTGTGTCAGCTCGTGACCCAGTATACTTCCAATTGCGCCATAATTTAGAACTCTGCAAAGAATCGTACAGATTAAGATTAAAGCTAGCGCACTTACTCTAGGCCTAAATGATAAAATGGGTGCGTCAGAATTGCGATTGGTACAGCTGAAATTTGATTTGCTTTTTATTTTGATTAGAAAACCGAAACACTCACTAATCGAATTATCCGAAAAGTAATTGTAGGCGTTAACTGTGGTAGGATCAGTTTTCCATGTTCTTTCAGTCTCATCCCTAAGCGACTCTAACTCTGTTGGGGTGAACTGAGTTACCATAGACATCATGTTCTCCAAGAATGTGTCATTGCGCATTGTAATCTGCGACAAACATCCATATATGTATTAAGTGTTTAGCGAAATGATTCTTACATTAGCGTAATACTCTTCGAGAACCTCCTCATCCATTAACCATTCAGGAAAGCCAATGAAGCTGACCATTTCCTTCGATTTTTCTAACGTGGCGTGCTTGGTATCTTTATCCATCCAGCTTAATTGTTGAACTCTTTCGGTAAACGCAGATTTAATGTCATTCAGCATGATGTCAACCTAAATTGTTGAATTACTTGTCTACATTTCCAGGGACGTAGTACAAACCTTTGGTTTAGTGCTGCTCATGAACGTTTTGTCCACAATTCCATAGCTTACAGCAACGCCCATAAAATTTATGACTAGAGATGCGCAATCTAATGATCTGAAAGAATCATATACAAATTAGTAAAAATGATCGTCTCGGTCCAGCTATTGATGTGGGAAACACAATCGACGAGGCGGTGGTCCACCTACAATTTCTCCTTTCACTATTCCTTCCGGTGTTATAGAGGATCACAAAAATGTGTATGTAGATACATTAAAATATGTCATTTTTTAAGTACCTATGTAGGTACCGTAGAATAAGTTCAATTAATTTCTAATATCCTAATAATAGATCATATGCAGTCGACATTTACTTTCTTATATTGTATGGCAACTACAGTAATTAAATCTACTTTCAATTTCTCGTGTATATCTGTAACACATTTTTTTTGATAAAATAGCATTTCGTTTTATAATCCTTATTTGATTTCACTTTGGCGATTCACATTTGCGTATTCAGTGTAATTAGAAGTAAACGGGCCTCTCTATGTCAAGTAAAAAGTAAACAAAATTTTTCTAGTATATATTTTGGACTATAATTAGCTACTTACTCCACTAACATCATTTGCTAACACAAAAAAAAGATTTGTTACGGCGCATTAAATTTGACAATTGTGTCAATAATTATTTACAAGGATATTAACGGCCAGTTAAACCATGTAACCATTAAACTGTAACAAGCCAGTACTTTTATATTATAACATTTTAAGATGAAAAGACTACCTTCGTAAAGTGCTACTGTTGGTTTGTGGTCTTTTTTTTTACATACAACGTCAACAGCAAATTAGTAACAGACAATTAACTGGTATTACGTAGTCTAATTTTTGAAATTTAACAAACCAACCTTTTCATTTCGCGCTTTTAGTTGCGCAGATATCTAATTTTAACCATTCCTGTGCTTATATTGGCCCGTTTGGTTGCAACATAAATAATTCATATTCATGCTCGCAACGCCACAAAGGTAGCCAATAGAAATAAAACAATCGGTTTAGCCACCTGGGGAGCCTGTTCAAATTTTTGTTAGTATTTCTGTCGTAACAATCCAATACTTAGTTTTTTGTGATGGTTTTTGGCGAAAAGTTGGAATGGAACTCATGTTGTAAGAGAACGGTGACGGTTTTCATTTTGAAATTTGAACTCGAAAATGACCTCAAAGTCACCTGGATGTGAGGGGGCGGGGAGGGGAAGAACAAAACGAGTTGAAGAAACTAATACCGGCTACGTTTTCAACGATCTGCAAAAAATTAAAGAAGTAACACAAGGTTGAGGATTTTTGGAGACCTTGGGCACCTCCAAATTTTTTTTCACATTTTTCTTATAAATACGTTGACTAATGGACCATGATTACGATTTTGCAGGTGGACTCTATCAAATTTGTAGATCGGAGTTCGTGAATTGGCAATGTAAGCTAAAAAATAAGCTGTCAAAAAGGCTATGAATGTGGGTCTGGGTATGGTAATACTTGTTTTACGTGTTTGTAGTCGGATCGGATTGCGCATGCGGAAAACAAATTATTTGGTTTGGTTATTACATGTATATTATTGCTGTATATTATATGAAACAATTGCCTTTTTACCATATAATAACTTTTTTCGTAAGCGGCACAGAAAAATTCATTCCTTGGTGCAAACCTCGACAACATAACGAACCAAATAGCAAAAAAAGGTCTTAAGATAAAGAACTAGTAGTGATCGAACGGCCGTAGGAACGGACGGACGGACAGACGGACGAACAAAGTGGCCATAATAGCGCATTTGTTTATTTTTGTAGAAATGCGCTAAAAATATATGGAAAATTTCATATGTAAGTGTATAATATGGTACAAGAATCAAAATGGTAATAAAGATAACCATTAATCATTAAATTATGTTTGACAATTCAGTGGTATACTGTCACTTATTTTTCCGCGTCGCGTTTTTCTCCCACCGGGGAGTCCCTTAAATGAATGACGAAACACGTTGATTTAGCCCACAGAGTACAAAAATAGATTTTGAACTGATTAACACACTTCACTAATATACGACCAATCAGCTTGGTGATTGTTTCAAATTCTAACCAATCAGATGATTTTTTAAGTGATTAAAAGCTAGGTAGCTTTTTATCGGCGATAAAAATGCGTGTAGGAATGCGTAAAATATGTAGTAGTTGTGAAATTTACAGTCTTATATTAATCTCCCTAAAATACACTCGATCTTGGTTTTAAATCAGGATAATTTTATTTTTAATTCACTCAAATTTTGTTGCCTCCTGGAAAAAATTCTCGATCAAAAGCATAAGGTAACACACTTTTGATTACCTCTAGTTTTTTCCAGTGCAACAAAATTTTCGTGTAAAATTTAAATTATCCAACTAAAAATCAAGCTCTTGTGTATTTACCCCCGATAAATTGTAGGAAACTTCCATCCTTCCTGGTAAATTCGCTTTCGAAAACTAGCCCCCAGAATAATTGTCCCTAATGCGGAAGATTCACATCTATTCTGTTTCCGGAAGACTGTTCCACAGAAGACTCGCGCCCATAGAAGATTCAGCCTCGCCGAAATACTCGCTAGGAACTTACTGCACGAAACATTCACGTTCAGAAGGGTTCAGCTTCCAAGGAAACGCTCTTAAGCTTTATTCTCATTCTATCGTGTAAAAGCATTCCAAACAGATTTGAATTGCAACATCTCCCCTAAGTATTAATAATTTTTTTCACTACTAGCGTCTGATGACATGATTATTAACCTTTTTTCCACTTGTAAAGTAGGCTTTCTCGGCATTTGTTCAAAGTGGTTAATAATTTTTTATTATTAACTAGTAGTCAATAATGAGAACTGTCACGCTGTCACTTTCAGAAAACACAACCCGAAATTTTGCTCAATGAACGTTTAGACAAGTTCTCTAAAACGAAAAATTGCCACCATTCGCAATTTCCAGAGAAATTACATACCTAAAATTATCATATTTTGAAAAAATTCGAACGAAATTACTCTTTGAAAAATCTCAATGACAGAACAAAATACGGCCTGTTTGACTTGTACTTCCACGTACTTGATTGACATGTTAAATTAAGAAACAAACAATTCTGTCCAACCGTTAACTCTCTATCAATATAATATGTTAATTTAGAGGATTTCAAGTGCTAGTAGTGAAAAAAATAGTATATATACCACGGTAGAGAAGTCTATTATTGCCTTCGCACCTTACACCCCTCCGCAAGCGCCTCGAGATGTAATCTTGGTGCTCAGGCAATAATAGTGGACTTCTCTACCTTGATATATAATGTACTATTTCTACAATCGATATCCAAAGTAGGCATTTGCGCTCGTATTTGACAACGCAAACGTAATCTTTTTCGAGGAATGTCACTTTGTCGCTTATAAGCGACAAAATAGAAAAAACGCTCGCTCTCCCAATTATTAACTATAAATCAAATATGCATTGCTCAGAGTATCCAATGACAACGAGTAAATGACATCTTTCATTTGGGCATAAGATAAGATTAATATGATTTGAGTGAAAAATTTAAATTTCTGGAAATATGTGAACTGCTCGATTGTAGAAAAAATCTTGTGTGTAATTCGAGCGCAAATTGATTGTTGATTTCAAGAGATTGCCGCGCTCCTTCGTCGCGCGTCAACTGTCTCTTTCAATCGACAATATATCATTTTGCGCTCTTAATACACAAATAGCTATTTATCAAGTAGTTTCAACTAAAAAGTGATAAATTCTGCTATAACAACCATAAATAAATAGCATTATGCGGGTCACTCTGTAATTGGGCGCATGCCTGTTGAGGGCCCAAAACAAGAGAGGAATAATAACAACAATACCCGTCCAGGATTTTGTTTCGGACAAATTGTTGTTCTGCTGATGAACACTTTCAAATCCCGAGTGTGTAGATTGTAAACATAACGCGGGCTTAATTCAACAAAACCAACTAAGGGATTCTCCCAGTTTTTATGAATGATTTCAGAGTAGCTTCTCTTCACTGTTTTTGCTTGATTTCTATAAAGTACCCAAGGGGTTGTTTAATTTAGTAAACCTACCTGAGTACTATAGTGCCATGAATGATAGAAATTATTGACGTTAAAAGTAAATGGTTTAATACAAAAAATATGCAGAATAATTTTAGTACTTTCATTATGTATTTCTTTTTATCGAAAGTAAAATCAATAAATCATTACACAAACGGTAAATTGTGACAAGTAAGGCGTTCCTGTACCAATTTGTCTTTCTTTTGCATTGTATTAGAAAAGTTGTATGTATTTCTAGGCATTTTTCGTCTTTTGTCCTGTAATTACATGTTGTTTGACATTGTATGTTGCACAATTTATTGACTGTACTATAGAAAATAGCATTGAGATAAAAACATACGCAGAAATGCTTTTACATGAAACCCATCTCATGTTTAAAACAATTAAAATGAATGCAATCGCTTACCTTGATCTGGAAACCGTTGAGCTTACAATCTGTTCAGATTCCCTTTGAACTAAATCGGTCATTTCAGTTGTGGTGCTCAAGATCATAGAATATGCCGTGATCCACCACATATACAGCTCTAGATACAGATCGGAAACGCTCGAAAGATAAGCTGCAACTTCTGGCAAATAATTTACTTCTTCCAAAGGAACGTAAATATAATCTGTGGAGTTTAACTCCAGTGTAACGTTGGGGACATTTTCGAACATTAACGTTACATATCGTCTCCACGACACTTTGGAAGACAAATTATTTTTCGCCACGTAAGCATCACTTAATTTCTGCAGTTCGTCAATTTTAAATTTGTAAAACTGCAAGTCGCTATTTGTCGAATTAATGTCGGCGAGCTGAAATGAAGTTTTTGACCAACTGGCCCAGTGGTTGCAGCGATTACCTCTGTTAAATCTGCAGTCATATTCCAAATTACGTTAGCTGCCTCGTCCATTAAAACTTTATTGGGAACTGTACTCGAAACGTTTAAAGAGAAACGCTTAATCACCTCTTTAACAATTCTCTTGTACGCTTCGGCTTTTCGTTTTTCTTTCTCTACATTTTTCTCCGCGTCACGCTTTTTTGTAGACTTCTCTTTAATTGCCGACTTAAATGGACTGAAAAAGCGAACTGACACCTTTTTACTCTTAGATATCGCGCCCTTACCTTGGTAACGGACACGGAGAATCGGGTGCCCCCATATAAATAACATTTCGGCTTCGGTTGTAGATATCCGCATCAACTAGCAATCCAATAAAGTTGTCCATCGCAAGCACCTTCTTTAGCGCGACCTCAACTTTGATCCAATCGAATTTGAAGTTGGCGCGTTCGGTCTCGTTGAAGAAACTCGGAATAAGGGGTAAGTGTACTTTTTGCAAGTATTTAATTATTCCAGTATAACCCAGCCTGTCTAAGGTATCTGTAGAGCAATAAGTTAGATAGCGGTGTAAGGGAGAAAACCTGACCTGTATCCATGCAAGACACATATAAGTCTTTCGCTTGTCTTACAGGTAATGGGTAACTGCTCGAGATGTTTGAGTTTAAAAACTCCATTACTGATATGGCTACTTTTTCGTCTGCAGTTTCAAAACTGGAAAAGTGAGGGTACCAGCCGTGGTTGGGGTGCTCGGTCGACCAGCGCCCGCAGGTAAATTTGTAGAAATCGTCGCAGGGATTGACACTAAAATCCATCGACAGCTTTAGATTTGCCGCGGAACGAAGGCATTCTTCTGATACGCACAGTTTGGCAGACATTCTCGATGCTCTAATGTCTGAAATTTTAAAACACATTACAATAGAAAGTGTACCAAAAAAAGGCAATTTAATCTATTAGTCTTCGTCAATACTAGAACAATCCTGCGGTCTGTCTTAACAGGCTTCCCTCTCACTGTCACACCACAGAAAATGTTGGCGTGTTGGTACCGGTACTGATGTTGATAACTACCTACATGTTGCAGAAGTAGGGGTTTTTCTCTATATCATTATTATTAGTTTTTTAGTCTTACGTCCGGTGTTGTGCCGATCATTGGATATCTTACATTATTCATTTACGTTTGAAAGGTAGGAGATTTTGCACATATATTTGCGACTTATTATTGTCGTTAGGAGTATGTAGACGTTAATTGGACGTATAATTACTATCTTGAATGAATGTATTTGCATATAATTGAACCTTTTGCAAGGTTAGTTGTGGTGCCTTACGGTATTATTTTCTCGAAGTGATTTGGAAATATGTATTTTATATACTTACATTCAGCTAAGGCGACAATAAAGGCAATAAATAGAATTACAAGAAGCACTGCTAGCACAATGGATAGTCGTTTGTAAATATCTTTCTTCTTGTATCTGAAACATCAGTAATATTTTCGTTATATAATTATCACTAACAAAAGCACACGCAAACATATTGTTACCAAAATATAAAGTGACCCCCGGATAAATTCATTTTTAAAAGCGCTAAACGGTTTTTGTTTATTAGAAGTAGCTATCGGAAAACGTTTAAAATGAATTATAAATAAATAACATCGAATTAACAATTTAGTGGTACTTTTAGCACGAAACGCTTAATTGAGTATCTATGCACGCGTGAAACTACTTCTAAGTGTATATCTACTGTAAAATTGGAAATCGGTGTTGAAAGGGACTTTTAAAACTTACACAGCAGATCTAGATTTTACTCCTACAAAGTTGTGCAGACTAGAGGTGGTTGGCGTATTTTTACCTAAAAGGTAGCATTAACAGGTATAATTAAAAAAATAAGAAAAGGGCTTACTTGTAACACTATAAACTTGTCCGTTTTCCGTAACGGTCCCATTCTCCATTTCTTTAATGTAATAATGTCACTCTTGATCACTATATTCAAATTTACATACTGATGATGTTACCGGCAAAATTTTATTATAAAACCATTGGACAGTCATGCGCTCGTCTCTTGTAACTGACAACTAATCACAATGGTAACAAATCGATGCTCTATGCATACCTATTGATTGTTTATACTTATATTTAATTTGCCTTTTGTTGCTCACTTCCGTTACATTTAGAATAGAACTTATTTTTTAGCACGTTGGAAAATTGTTTCACTCAAGGACCCTTATGATAGGAATTAATGGTGTTGCGTCAGGGACTTTTATGCGTTTACTGCATCCATTTCATTGTCTCAAACTCGTATTTTATTTTGCAATTACATAAACAATACGAATGATGTCTCTGCCAGTAACCGTCGAAATTATTACATAATAATTATTAAAAATTAAAATGTGTATATTTAGTGGTTTAATTATTTATAATTACCTACACAGGACCGCAATGTTTGCTAGCGCTAGGAAAATAACTTAAGATTTTCTAATTGCTAGGTATTGTATCTACAAAATTGAAAGACACTATTTAACTAGCAATTTGCATTACACTTTCTGTATACAATTATATACAAATTTAATTTTCACTTGACGTTAAACTAATGATGTTAATGGGACACTAAAATCGGGTTAAAAGACACTTTTAAGCGTTGAAAAAATGGAAAATGCAAGATCAATCAAGATAAAGGACCAAATTGCCTTTTGTTGTATGCCTTCCGATTAAAGTATGGAAACCAAAGTTTATCGGGTAAGAAATGGAAACAGTAAATCGGGCTCACCACCAAGCGCATTTTACTTTTTGTTCTTGTATCTTTGGATTTGCACTAAAAAAAATAATGCCGTACCTGTAGAGGTGTATTTTGAAATTGATTTTGACCTATTTCTATAGCACATGTCAATTTTAATTGGCTATTAACGTTAATAAACCAACAATTACATAACTATTTCATTTTAAATTGCAATTTTATTAAATACCGCCCTTGAATTAAACGTCCCAGTAATTGTGAAAAAATAATCCAGTCGGAGACGGTGTTGTGATATTCACATATCTACACAGTGTTTTGGCTCCTCTACTGCATCATTTTTTTCATACCTGTTACACCCTGTATACCCCAGTATTCCCCAGGAATTAGATATTGTTAAAATTCACTTTTTTTCTAAATGTACCTTCGAACCTTTATCTTCCAGTGTGCTTAAAATTATCTTAATGTGTTCTAATTATAACAGTTTATTAAATTAACACATGCCTATAGTACACGTAACAAGTTAGTACTAAATCCTGGTCCCCATAGAACAGCACTTTTTCAAAATAATCTATTTAAGCTGTAAGATTTTAAATTTGCTCCCAAATTAGATACAAACTCTAAACGACAATTCGCAAGTTCAAAAAAGAACTCAAAGCATATTTACTAAACAAACATTTTGACAACCTAAAAGAATATTTTGAGCATTGAGTTATATAGGTCAACCGTAAACATATCATGGTTTTTATTATGTACTTTTGTGTCTATTGTATTGTTTTTAAGCATGACAATTACTGCCAACTATTGCTGTACATCTTGTGCCACAACGTAGCTGCAGTAAAATTTTTATAATTTAAAAAAAGACACCCAAACCCAAAACAGAGCTAGGTGTTAAATTGTCGCCGTGCGAGAGAAGCCCTCAGAGGATAATCTCGTAGTCTGGCGCATTTTTGCATAGGAGTATCAAGAAAGAACCCAATGTTTTCAGAAGAAAAATCAATTGAGACATCCTGTATATTTTCTTACTTCTTCCCTCACACCTATGCCTTGTGCAGAATTTTGTAATTAAAAATTAAATGGTTAGAAATTATTGGCGCCCCAAACTGCTGTAGTTAATCGAAACATTAAAATAGAACCGTTCAGCTCCTAGAATATTAGATAATTTAGGTGAAAACCACTCCTCGATATTATCGACGGTTTCTCAAAAATGCTTTCTTCTAGTTCGATTTCGCAGAACTAAAAACCGTACATTAATCGCTGTGTATCACGCATAGTCTTTCAAATTCATCACTGATGCATTTTTAATCTCCACTTAAATGAATTTAAGATTAACCACTTCCAGCATGTCCTGAAAAATTGATTCCTTGCTTGACAAAAAAATATCATTAATTATTTTCGACTTGTACAGGTCAACAGATTGTATGGCATGTATTGGAAAATTATTTGAACCTTATTAGGTATTACAATAAGCTTCATCATACACAAATCAAGTTCTATTTATAAATCGCGAACTAATGTATTGGTTTTATAATTACTAATGATGGATTCGTCTGAATAGCTATTAGGTATTGTACATTTCTTAAAGCATTTTGCGTGTTTACTACTTATACTCGTATACGGTGTGATCCAAAATAACTGAGGACAGATTAAAATTGGCGCTTAAAATGTTTAGTGTTTTTTACGCCTTACTTTCGCAAACATGCCAGAAGGTTTCCGCTGATGATGATAAATTTGCTGTCGAAACGAGTTTGTTTGTTTCAAATGGTTTACAGAGCAGTTCCTTCCAAATTTCACGTTATGATTCCGCGTGATTTTCGTTATCCGAAAATTCGCAGCGAACGGGAAAAATTTTCCCAACTATTCCTGTTGTTATTTTAGGATTTTGGTTACGGAGCTATAGAAGACATTAAAAATAAAAAAATAATTATAAACTGAGATTTGCCATATTTATTTTTTACATTTTACGTTTCATAATATTAATAAAAATCTTGATAAATAAATTACATCGGACCTACATTTTTAAACTAGTGGTGGAAATCTGGAAAACCATGGGCAGGTAATGGAGCTGCTACGGCGAAGCTTTTGAAAATAGGTTGAGGTGCAACAACCGTCTGTAAATTAACAAACGTATTATTCACTCATTATTGATCGGGCGACATTGTCTCGAATATGAAACGATTTTGAGTAACGCGCATTAATGTACTTAGTTGCTGCAATAATAATATATCGTTGATAACAATCAGGAAAGGGTGTCGCGTGAGCAAATACATTTTGACACTAATTGTTTTGTTACCCCTTTCTGTTACAAATGACCAATTCTCTTGCTGGAGCTTCATCGGTAATGGATAAAATGATTTTTTAAATTACTCATTGGGATTTATCGACCCTACAACCAATAATTTGCATTGGCAAAATTGACTACCTAATTGTTATCTTTATCTGGTAAATACTTAATGCGTGTTTTTCCAGAGTTCATCGACCTTCACACGCAATGTAAAAAGACAATAGCACGATCTCAATTTGAAAATTGTGTGTAATGTATACCCATTGCGATTTACCTTAACAACTGGTGCAACTGCGTATTGAGTTATACTTGCATAACTTGTAGCCGGAGCGATTTGTTTTACAATAGGAATTGGAGCGATGGTTTTAATAATGGGAGCGGGTGCTACGATTGGAGCTTTTATGATAGGTGGTGAAAATACAGGAGCGGAGAAAGATTTAACGATGGTAGGTGCTGGAAGTACAGGAGCTGGAAACACTGGTGCAGGAAGAAAAGGGGCCGAATGTATGCTAGGAAATCCAAAATCTAATCCACCTGGAGCGGCTTCGGCAGCTACCAGCATTGTAGCGAGAACGATCTGAAACAATGCAATTAAATTTATTATTTGGATTTTAAGTCGAGTTTACAAAAAAATTCATTTTCACAGTTACAATCAATATCAGTTCTGTACAGGTATGAAAGTGTAAACTGAGGATTTCAATTCAATTTTTATCCTTTTATATAAAAAGTTTGTAGTGATGGTGAGGCAGGTTGGTTTAAAAAAGTGAAATATATTGATTGGTTCAAGTTTACCTACTATTCTACAAAATCTATTAGCGACATTGTAGAAACTCAATAACAATAAACTATCAGTTGTGCAAGAATGCCCTAGTTCAGAAATGGAGAGCCTTCACCGAAGTTTACTCATTAATTTACAATAAGAACGACTTTAATGTACTTACACATAGGTTTTTACTAAACAGAAACACAAACGACCTTAGAGCAGCCAAGCTAAGCTTTTAAAATAATTTTACTGGAGGTATATCGTTGAAATGCTAGAAAAGAGTGCTGGAATGCGTGGAATCTTTCGATAGAGGAACGGGATTCATGTATTACATTTCTAAACATATTTTAGGAGGTTTGTCATTTTAAATTCATCTTCGCTCCGGCTTCTGAACAGGAAATGACAAAAAGGTACAAGTAGGTGTAACTTTGGGAACCTCTTTGAAAAATCGTATATCATTTTCAGTGTACCACTAGATGTAAAATAGAAAAGGGAAACGAGGTTGAATACATAGACTTGTGTAACTTAAATACTATTCCACATTTAATTGTCATTGAGATAACGTTAAAAGGTAGCAATCTTTGAAGCTGCACGTTATTGAAATTGCGTACTAACTCCACCTTTCACTGTAACCACGTACCATACAGTGTGATGTCACTTTATCTGTCCACGACGACTATCCAAGTATGTACATTCTAAATTAGCTACCATATAGGAGTAATAAAATTATACATATAGATCAGATCACTATTACTCAATCGAGTGTAAGTATTCTGACCCAATCTCTAGCATCATTGGCTATTTATTTTGTATCACAATCACTGTTCACTGCTCAAGATTTAATATATGTATTATAAATTCAAATATTTTCTACTTTCCACGGATAGGTCGCATGTTATAATAATGTAAGCAGCGAAAATTAAAATTTAGATATATATAAAAAGCTCATTTTTATACAAAACTTTGACCTGCCACCTATATCCACTATTCATTCATGAATAAACCATACCTATAAACATAATATAAAGACCTAGGTAGGTACCTATAAAGATAAAACTTGTAAATCATTAAGTACTAAAACCAAAATCCCATTGCAACACCCACTAATTGGGTTACAAACAGTTATTGACATTCTCTGCTACCAACAAAATTTCGTCAGTTTTCAAGATATTACAGCAGCGAAGGGAAGAAATTTTTATGAATTCCCAATCTGATACGTTTCTACGTCGGGAAGCTTTCAGAAACCTTCCCACTGCTGGTCTGGGATCAAAATAGTCTGGCATTTTATTAGGAACGTTTAACGATTACGAGTTTTTTTGAATCAAAAGATAGCAAAAACTCGTAATCGAGGACAATAGGTTGTTATTTTAGACGGTCCACTCGTTAAAGAAACATGTTAGTACCTAATGCTAAACAGAAAACACGAAACGTAGGTACTTATTCCCTATAAAAACAACCCATTATCTTCAATTACGAGTTTTTGCTATTTTGATGAAAAAAATCGTTTCTAATAAAACGCAGACAAAATGAAACCACAATGACCACATAGCGAAATTCGTTTCGTGTGACGTCATAAATAGAGGCAAAACCCTTTCAAGTTTCAACATGATCTTGCTTCTCCATGACGTCACACGAAAATCATTTTGCTATGTTCTAATTCCCATTGAAGACAATGGGTGTGGTTCCATTTTGTCTGCATTTTATTAGGAACGTTAAACGATTACGAGTTTTTTCATCATAGTCCAGGGAATAGAGGGTTTTAACTTGCAAAATGAGAAGTAGTTCCGATTTCTTTTGCATGTCATAGACAGTCATCTGGTGGTTAAGAATCTAAGTTTTCGACTTCCCACCCCTTGTGCTTCCCCCGTACCACCCCCAAAACCCTTGAAATTTGGTTGGTTTCTTAGTTTTTCAATCATATCTTTTTAATGATTCACTTTAGAAAAAAATATTGTTATCAGAAATTGTAGACTATAAAATTCTACACAACTTTGATATACACTACTTTTTTGTGAAATATTTATTAAAAAAGATATGGAGCTTGAGAGTTGGTTATATTTTTAAGAATTCTGAAATTTCTATGTAGATGTTTTAACCAAATTTTATACTTTATCTCTATAATTAAGAGTTGTATGAGAAAATATCTTGAATTTACCCTGCACCCTGCTGAACTAAAGTGAGATAATTTTTTTGTTTCAAACGTATATTAGAAAGCGCTACAATCTCACAGTGATTGAAATATCCCCACTAGCAAGGCTTGAAAGTTGAATTATTATGCATCCCTTTTGATAAGGGAGCAGGGTAGGGAGATTTTACCACGATAAGTTCAAGATATTTTCTCATAAAACTTATAATTATAGAGATAAAGTATAAAATTTGGTTAAATCATCTACATACAAATTTTAGAAATTCTTAAAAATATAAGCAACTCTGAAGCTCTATATCGTGTTTAATAAACATTTCACAAAGAAGTAGTGTATATCAAAGTTTGTGTAGAATTTTATAGTCTACAATTTCTGATAACAATATTTTCTTGTAAAGAGAAGTTATAAAAAGATATGATTGAAAAACTAAAAAACCAACCAAATTTCTTTGGTTTTAAGGGTGGTACGGGGGAAGCACAAGGGGTGGGAGGTCGAAAACTTGGATTCTTAACCCCCAGATATTCTTCCATGACATGCAAAAAAATTGGAATTACTTCTCGTTTTGCAGGAAATGGTCCATTTTCAGTCTCTATTCCCCGGACTATCAAGATAGTGTACCGTTGTATGGCAACGCCACAGTCTTCCATCAAACTGACGATAGTTTGACAATCAAAACAACATTGCTAGTACTGAAGCAACTCTCCCAAGACTATTGCTGCTAATAGTGTAGTTTTGGATACCTACTGCTGTTAATAGTGTAGGTAGTCGTCGCTCCGGTAACGTGGCAATCCTATTGCTCCTCCACGTGTTCTTCTTATGCTTGCGTTCCTTCTTCTTCTTTGACCTCGAAGGTGATGCCATTAGGTTGTAGATGAGGTCGTTCCTACACTATTAGGAACGCCTTCATCTACAACCTAATGACATCACCTTCGACGTCAAAGAAGAAGAAGGAACGCAAGCATAAGAAGAACACGTGGAGGAGCTTCTTCAGGCGTTCTCCGTTGCATTGAACATTCAGGGCCGTATCTTGATATGACTGCGCCCTTGGTCGGACTTTTACCCCCCCCCCTCCTCCCACCTGGTGGTTTGGGGTTATTAAAAAAATTAAAATTTTGTGGTGGAATTTTATTTTTCTACCATCCACACGTTGGTATTACATTAAGGGAGGTATTGCATTGGGATAAGAAATGACCCCCCACATTTTTTTTATAGAAATACTATGAATGCGAATCAAACAAAATCTCCATGATGTTGATGTCTCTGCCGGTTGGTGGTGGCGCGGTCAGCCGCAGTCAGCGCACAACAGCGACAAATCATAAGTAAGCATAAAAATATTCCCGCTGACTGCTGATGAGTATATGCGCACAGCTGCTGACAGAAAGCTGATTATTAGCGAAGCTGTTCAGCCGGTTCAGCTGATTTGCTGCGTGAAAACTTTATCCACTGCTGTTTCCTGACTGCCGCTGACCGCGTCCATAAAAGTAAAACATGTATTTGACGGAAGGAAGTGGCATATATAACTATGCATCCCTATTTGCGCTTTGCAGACAATGAAACATAGGATAAATTAAACGTGCGAGAATACCTATGGGAGAAATTTCCTGGAAATTGGAAAATTTGTCCGATGGTAGTATATTCTCGCACGATTGCGGGGGTGCACCATCTTGTTGAAACCAACAGTTTCCAAACTTTTGTTTTTTTTTCCGTAGCCACTTTTAATTAGTATAAATAAGGTCGTATTTGTAATTTGTCGTTCTGTTGTTCGCTGAAGAGAACAGCCTTGCTGGATGAAACGCGTTGGATATGTTAATATATTACCTATTGTGGTTTATTGGTGTTTTTGTTGCAAACACCGTAATTAAAGATCAATACGCTATTATATTCGTTATGGCTGGTTGTCCGACTGAGATCTCAGCAATTACAATATATAACTAGAGACTTACAATTTTCACTAAAAACTTTCTTCTATAGTGAAAATGTACATGCTCTAGTCTAGCCTATTTTGAGTTAGATTTCTCGTGAGATCAATAATTTTAAACTTTGCTAATAAAATACTGTTCTGTATTACCAAAAATGCGCTATATAAGCATGCATATGCTGATTTACAACTTGTTTTAACTTGTGTTGTCAAAACCACTTTTTCCTGTAATTATTTTAATGTGTAATGTAACATTATCCATATATCTATTAAGACGCTAGTCGTCTAATCATATAATTTCGTCAGACTAATGCTGATCATTTTATTTTTGAGTGGGCGAGGTTTCAGCCAAGGCTGCTCTACCAACCCACTATACATCTACAAATATCCATGCCCGAACCCGGATTCGAACCAGGGACCCTTAGCACCACAGTCCAGCTTTAACTGAACTGCGCCACACGGCCATTGACGCAGGATATCACACAGGCCTGTAGGGGCTGGTATTTCTAGTTTTAAATTATGGAGGTATATGTCATACTTGTCTATCGTATCTCATGCAATGGCTCACATTTACATGGATAACATACCAATGTTGCTGTTATTACTCTAATCCATGGACGATTTTTAACTGCATAATGCATAGTTGAAATTTTCTTTATATTTATTTTACTGTGTTTTGAACAATGTAGTTGTAAATAACTCGCTAGCAGCACTAGCACTAGTCTACAGCAAAATTGTAAGTGTTGCTCTGTCATAGCCATCTTGAAAATTATGCTTTCCAAACACACAGTTAATTAAATGTAACTTATGATTATAAAACAATAACATTTATTTATTACACAATAAGTCTAAATTACAATTTTGTTCATACATTATTCAGTCTCATTAGAGACTCATTCTTATATGACAGGTATGTAGGCATCAAATCTGCTAAACATACAGAGATAGATGTTTCAGACCTTAGAAATTTTAATTATTTAGGTACCATTGTACATTTATAATATATTTATTATTATATATATATTTATAATTTCGAGGTTTATTTACATTGTTGCCAAGTTGTGTCCTAATCATAGTTTATTATTAGTGATAGATAGTATTGAACCTATTATCAAAATCTCCATGGCACCTCAGTCAGGGTGTGAACCTAAAGCAGTGTACGTCATAAAATATGAGCAAATTTCGAACTTTCTGCTAATATTGGAGTAGGTAGCTATAATAAAAATATCATATGCTGCACTTCATATAATATATAAATGTTTGAAGATTTACAGCACTGCATTGCATGTATTCTCTAAAGGCTGCTGTAAACTATTTTAGGTTTGATAAGTGCTTATGAATGATTTAACGGGGAACTAGCAATATACACTTTTTGCAGTGATGCCGATCGGTCTACTTGGTCACATACCTATTTTATTAGAAGGAAAATTAAGGACATTGTCAACTACTTGATGATAATCTAATAAACTAGTCAAAGTGGAATAAATTTAATCAATAGCAATACTATAATATCGCCCATCAACCATGGTTAAAATACTTACAATATGAGCTAATAGAGGAAAATTGAAAATAAAATGTAAGGTTGATACAAATTGACTAGTTCCATCCATAACACACTCTCTGTATTATGTTTTTAATATCCTTATTTACAGAAAATTAGAAATCAAACAAGCATATCAAAAAACCAAAACAATAAATATGCTCAAAAAATAAATAAATTATAATTTGACAGCCGAACGCCATGTAAAGTTGTTCTTGGTAGCGAAATTATGCACAAAATGGCACTCTCCCTGATTTTTACAATATTTTCCATATTTACATGGGCGAGGATGGTAAAACGTGCAATGGACGTTACTGCAATTTGGAAAGAATTTGCACATTTGCAGTGGTCCTGCTGGAGAAGCTAAAAACAAGATATTACAAAATATTGAATGAGCAGTCATTGACTTACCATGAATTCGGGAGTTATGGTTGTAAGGGCAATCTTTCCTTGTACACGAATTCTCAAATTTACACATTGGATGTATGTACAAGCACTTGTCTCCAAATTTGCATTGAGGAAATGCTTTGCATGGTGTGTTGGGGTGAACAAATTCGCATTTCTCACCTAGCCTACAACTTGGCCAATATTTACACTTTTCTTTAGCTTTGAGAGATGAGGGATGTGCAACAATTGGCAATTTATCGGGTATTTGCTTTAATTTAGACGGAGTTGGAGAACTATCGACCTTATCGAACACTATGGGAGATGGTAGCTTTCTCTCTTTACCCCTTCCAGAAGAATCTGTAGTTTTAGTATCCGTTTCAATACCTTTTTTAGGCGATTTATTTTGTCGAGCAATGCCATCTAGTGTGATAATAAAGGTATGGCCCTTGCTTTGCCTGGGAAGTGTGGTTGGATCACCATCAGATCCTTCAACGTGGTCATCGCCACTGTGTTCTTTAGAGCTTGGTATGTATTCTAATCGCTCACTGGATCTTCTTCCTTGCTTTACTGGTCTAGGTACGTATTCCAAATTGTCATCATCACTACTGCTATCATACTCTCTTTTCTCCTTTTTGTTACTTTTTGATAAAATATGTTTTATTTTGCTTTTTTCTTTATCTGGTAGTTTTCTAGAAGACGAATGATGTGAAGATCTTTCACGATACTTTTTGGTAAATAGTGCATCAGGCTGCAACAAATTTATGGATATAGTTACAAAAAAAACATTTTATAACAATAAAGCACCAGGATTAGATGCATGGGACACCCCCAGTTTAAGTACAACTAGTTTGGCATAAAATTTCTTACCTTTGAATTGCTTCCAACCATTGGAGTTTGCGCAACACTTCTTTGAGCTTCAGCAACTGCTTTCAATAGTAAGTTTTTATTCGCTAGACTATTAGATGGAGGCAGTACACGAGGCTTCACTTTGATCACACTAAGGACCTCTTTGTTTACGGTTTCGTCCTCAGATTCGCTATTAGGTTTTGGAGGTGGTACCGCCACTTTCGACATGACTCCTAGTCGTTTAAGTGCACTCTGAAATAAGCGCACATTAAAAATAAACCGTAACGCAATAACTCACTTCTCTGTGAGACTCGGGGGTGTTTGATCTTGTGATTTTTTTTGATTCCTCATTTTTGTTCCGCTGCGATGTTGATTTAGTTTTCGGCAAGCCCAATAATTCTTCCTCCTGCTTTCGTATCGAGGCTAAACTAATTTTTTTGTGTTTTTGAGCATCGTCGTCCCAACTATTAGAACTGGGTCTCTTTCCCAATCGCTCCATAACCGATTGTCTTTTAGGCGGATGTTCGCCCTCAAAAACAATGCGAGGATGTTCATTTTTATCCTTAGGACTGTGGGGCTCTTCCAAATCTTCACTGTACTCTGTAATATTGGGTTCATTTAATTCCCTGCTACTGTCTGAATGTCTGACTATTTTAATTTTTCTAGCCGAAGCCTCTTCAGTTTTCTTTTGCTTCAATTCTTGCAGTTGCTCATTGGGAAACAATTCCTCTGCAAAAATACCAGGTGAGCAAATTGAAACAATATTTAATAGATCTTACCTGGTTCTGCTTTAAGATTTATAAAATCCTCATCCTCCGAGTCACTAGCAACCTGGAGTCCCAATCTACTTTTGACACTTTTTATTTTCTTCTCAATTTCTACCAATTCATTCTCATTAGAAATCGCTACCTCAGATAAAGGAGGTATATCAAAACAATCCTCATTAACACTCTCTAAATTACTATTACTATTGTGATTTTCCTGCATAACAACTATTTTACGCATTTCCGACAATTTACTGGCCTCCACGGGGAGGTTATCAGTTAAAGATTTCATTTCAGCCATCTCTTTTAAGATGGGCTTGACATCTTTCCTTTTAGCCTTTTTGTTAGATTTGCTTTTATCCTTCTTCTCCTTTTTCACCTTAACATTTAAATGTGCATCGTCAGTTTTCCGTTTCGAAGCACGTTTGTAAATGTCAGGATTTGTGACCGTAATCTCTTTAAGCTTTTTTAATACAATCTGCAACCAATCGACAAATGTGGAGGTTTTCGTTGTTAAAAAAAGCTGCAAGTCTTCGTTCATTTGTGATTTGGTTCGCTTATTAGCAACCATAACCATAACGTAATCTGGCAATTCGTCATCTAAAAATGTGGGAATTAGTGCAAGTTTGTAATGTGGAATGTAATAGAATTATATTACCGACGTAACATCCAAGTTCCGTAAGTTTGGCTTTAATAGCAGACTAAAAAATGTAACACATAAGAAACATAACCTACTTTAAATACTTGTCATTAATTACCCTCATTTTCTGTCCAACCTCGGCCCCTATGCTATCCATGGTTGTGTAATGTTTATTCCAAAATTAAATGTTTAATTATCTTGCAAGCTTTAAATAATAGGTAAAAACTACATTTTACCTAAAATATAACCAAACATCATCGGCAACCCATAACAAATCACATAGGGATTTTTGTTTCCTGCTTTACATCTTCTGATTTGCTGTGACTAGAGACACGTTTTGATACTGTTTGTTGATGTTAATACAGGGTGTAAAAGAAAGTTTGTAAGGCACGGTGATGCAGATTGCATAAATTTTTTTTAAATAAACAGAACTCAGGACTCGTATTTAGCAACTCCTTAGTCCTTTACGTTCATAATCTCAGTGCTCAAATATAAATTGACTTTAGTACGTAAGTTCTAGAAAAGCGCAGTTACGAAAAATTAAGTTACATACAGCTAGTTTACTCCTCGAGGAAGCATGAGAATTTCACTCGATGCGCAAAGCTAGAGAGTGGGAAAGCATACGGAACGAAAAAGATACCCTCTACGCACGACGACTGCCTTAAAACAACTTGAAAAATGATTACTACAGAAGAATTTCCCAAAACATGATTATTATTATTTTCAATGCGTAGAGATTCTGAAAAGTAAAATCGTTTGGAACCCTTTGGTGTACATATGCATTAAACCTTCGAAAAGCGCATTAAAAGCTTCGAAAAAGTTCTGAGAAGTGTCCAAACAACTTTAAGAAGGCATTAAAAAGTTCTGACAAGACTCTGAGTGCTCTAAAATGCATCTTCAAATGCATTTAAAAAGTGTTAGAAAGCCTTTTAGGACACTTAAAACAGTTTAAGTTATTTCCAAAGGCTGAGAATTCTGTAAAGCTTTGAAACGGATTAAAACCGTCTGTAATTCCTAAGTTTTTAAAAAGGCCTAAAATTTAAGGAAAGCGCATCGAAAGTTAGACTATAGTGAGTTAGATACATGCCACAAGCTCCACAAATCTCTTTAATTGCGGCGAACAGCTTTCCTTGCAATAAATGAGTAATATCACAGGTTGACTACGTAATGTCATTGAATAATTATAATTTTTCACTCAACGGTAATATGAATCTTAACAAATTACAATAAAATAGTATGATGTGTTGCCTACACACTCAGTGAACTTTGTATTTTCACCTGGCAGCACAGCAAATGAGCAAACGTACATTTGTAAGAATGCAACACTGTAAATTTTCTGTTTATGTTTGTCAAAATATGTCATGAAATTTTAGATTTTCTCAAAATTTTTTGTTTAAAATGGTAAAATAATGTTATTTCCTTTACTCACTGTGCAAAAAACATTCGTGAGTACCCCTTTTGGTTACTTAAGCAGAAGGTTAATCTTTAGAGCAAACTATTTATAGGTTATTCAATTCCCCTTTTTAGACTGTTACATAAAACATATTATGAAGTTTTAGGACTAACAAGGAACTGTACAATTAAGGATATAAAGAGTGCATATATTACATTATCAAAAAAGGTTTGTTCGACAACATATTCAGATATTAAGCTAATTTTCCATTTACAGTTTCATCCCGACAACAATACCAAAGATGCTTCACATAAGGAGTTTTTAAAAATCTCAGAAGCTTACAATGTTTTAAGTAAGCCAGATAAACGGCGATTGTACGATTGGGAGTTAGAACGACAGGTTTATCAAAAATCTTTTAATTCCCGACCTCGACCTAGACCGCCACCAAGATCGCCAAGAAGGTAATATAATGTGCATTATTATTGTGGCAAATGATCATTGTTCTTTAGCCCATTTGAAGATGAGTTCATTTGGAGAAGGTATCAATCGCATAATGACCATGACAATTATTATGGTGTGCCAGGTGTAAAACGACTTTCGAATGGAGTAGTGGCTTGGTTTTGTGTGTTCTTCACAGTTATTTGCGCCACAATTCAGTTCTACGCTATAAGGTAAGAGTTGAATTTCAGATGTTCCTTTATATTTGAATGTTGTAGGCAATATGATAACGTTAAAAAGTAGTGAATTTTGTTGTTTGTGTCAGACATTCTTATTATTTACGAGAAGAGCTTTTCCAACAACGAACTAAAGAAAATGAGGAAATTTTGAGCAGACTTAATTCTAAGGTGAATGAAACGGACCGTGAGACCCAAATTGGTATTGTTGAAGCTAGATTGAAAGCAAATGGTAGTAGATTTCGGTAGAAATAAATTAACTGTAAATAGTATATTGAAATAAATCTATTTTTGTTATACAGTGTTATGTATTTAAATAGAAATTCATTACTAGAATATCCAATATTAAAAGGAATCCCTCACACAAAAGCGACTGACTGGACATAATAGCCAATTTATAAACTTTGTCGCCCGCGTTCGCGCTGGCAGTTCGTAGTTCATCGCACATATTGACCAATGCAAAAAGAGTACCCATTTGGCGCGCAAATTAGTGTCAAAGTCTCTTTTTCCATTGGTCAATATCTTCGGTGAACTACGAACGCGGGCGACAAAGTTTTGGTACGAATTGAACGAATCAGGTTCCTAAGCACAAATAATATTTTGATAATTTACATCTACCGCGAATGATGTGGTTATCTCCGCTTAATCGATCATCGACAAAGATTCTCAACACTATTTTCTAAATACACTTTACTGTTCTTAGAAAAAGTAATAAATTATTGTTTTTCCTCATTTAGTTTTAAATATTTTGTGCCTGGAAATGGCTGCTTTTCCAATTTAATGAATTCATATCTTTATCAGTGGCTATCAAAGAAGTGTTATCAGGTCAGCATAATAGCAACAGTGGTTATAGACCAAGAGCGAGTGACCAATTTTGTGTCATTGTAAAAGTCACGAAATTTCACACAGTAAAGAATTAACTCTATACTTACTGAATACTGAGAGTCGCTTCTGGCCGGGGTAAACCATCCCAGAAAAAATTATCAAAGTCCTCGTGTGAGATCGAAGGGACTTCAGCGCAGTTTTGTGTGGCAATTCAGCATTTTAACTAGTTTTGACTCCACTATTAATAATATTGTAACGGAAACGCTCCAGACATGACGTCGCCTTTGGCGCTCTGGAATTTTCTAGGCGCGCGATAGTGGGAATGTTTGCAACGTATCTGGTAATTACGCGAGTGTTCTGGACTTACATTGCTTGCGTGTAGAAATGGTTGCGGACCGAACATCGCGGCAGTTTTACTACCGAACGAGATCGAGTACGAATGAAACATCGAGCGCGGAAATATAAATTGCGAAGTGTGTGATATAAATAGTCGATATAAATTGTACAGTTTTTATAGTGTTTTAGTTTTGTTTAATAAATATTGATATAAATCGAACCCGAATTTATAAATCACGTTACAATATCTTGTTGAAGGCTACCACATTCCCTTTGTGAGCACCTACTTCCAACGCCCGGTTTACTTGTAAATCGCGTTGTGAAATGTTGACTCCACCATTAGTCGGATCTTGTCGGGGGCTACCACATTCCCTTTGCCGGTACCCATTTTCGACATCCTGTTGACCCGCAATTCGCATTTGAAGTTTTTGACCCCACCATCAGTCAGATAAATGCGCCATATTGGATTTCGCTAAAAACCCTCCACAAAATAGTACCTAAACCGACTCAATTTTTGGGGAACTTCTCATAGCTCGAGCTGCTGTCGACGACACGAGAAAGACACACCGTGATTCGACCATTAAGAAACTTTAAACCGCGTGACAAACTTCACGGCGGAAAGTAACTCGCATTGAAAAAGGTGGTTAATCTCGCCCCTAGGGAATTTGACGACCCGGTAGGTACACCTCTCGTCTCTCTACAAGCATTCTTCTACGAGCCTTCACTTGCTGCCAGCCAGTCAGAGTGAGATGAAAAGCCATCTTTTTGCAAATAAATTTGGAAAGATGCGCACAAAATTCTATCACACAATTTGCCACAGTAAAAAAACGTGTCCCTGAGACAACTATATCTTCATCGGCTTCATACGAAATGATGTGTTGATGATATTCATTCTGCGTACCTACTTTTGTCGACATTTGTTTGGGCGAGGTATTTATGTTGGGTATAGGACACTTTGCCGAATGCCCACAACGCTCACACGATATTTTGATGGTCCATATATCGGCGACTAGGTACACTACGCCGACCGTCTCACATCGTCGGCAAGTATGCAAGGGACACAACGCCGACAATGCCCACTACGCCGATGGACACTACGCCGCACGTGACCACAACGCCGACTATTTTTGTATGAGTTTGTATTTTTTTAAGTCAAAAATGTCCTAAGCCTACAAATAACCTAATATCCAAAGCTGCGTGGTGTCACGCTTCGTCCAGCTTCATTAATAATTTTTGTATGAGTTTGTAGTTCAAAAAAAGTTAAAAAAATATTCTAAACCTACAATAACTCAGCTGCACTCCGTACCATACTGTATGAGTCGACGTTGTGGGCACGTCGGCTTAGTGTCCGTCGGCGAAGTGGGCATGGTCGGCGTTGTGTCCCTTGCACACTTGTCGACGATGTGGGCACGGTCGGCGTAGTGTCCCTAGTCGGCGATATATGGGTCATCCAAAAATCGTGTCGGCGTTGTGGGCATTCGGCGAAGTGTCCCGGCTCCTTTATGTTGATAAATTTAACGAATGTATTGCAGGAGGTCTTTTTGTTAATGTTATTTACCGCGATTTCGCTTTGAGTTGCTTGTACTATGCGATCGAAAATGAGTTGCTGTCGAGTCACCTTTGGAATTTTTGTTTACCTGGCAAATCGTACTTAACTTGAACTTCCAAAGGCAACTCGACAGCAACTCATTTTTGATCACCCGTTCGTTACTTACTCTATAATGGGTTCTTTCTACATTTATTAAATGCGTTCTTTTTTTGCTTAATAGCCCTTTTACATTCCTCGCTCCACCATGGGAGTTTGGTACGATCGTGTCCCTGTTCATATGGTTGATGTTGGAATCGATACCATAGCTGCTTTAAGTACCTATACCTACTACATTGTGTAACACTTAAACGGTTGTTTGGTTATTAAATGATCTGTAAAATAAAACAATTCCAGTTGACATTTTGAAATTGCCATTTCTGGCGTGTCTGAATATTAACTGTGACACTTTTTGTGATATAAACTTAAATGAGATGATAGGTAAAATCATCACGGTTAAAAAAGCCTAGTAGGATTACCAGACTATTTTTGCGGAGATTACTGTCCAAAGCTAAAAAAACATTAATTGTAACAACCTAATCATGGCCTAATTATTAGGCCATGGACCTAATAACCTCTTGTAATTTAGGTCTCATTTCCTGGTACTTAATACAGAAAAACAAAAACAAATTGTATTTATTCGGGACAAAATACAAACGTAATTTATGAATTTGAGGAAATAATTTTAACTTAATTTAGAAGAACACATATCATACACATACACCCCAACCTCTTCGTGAGGGTATTCAGGCGAAAATATTGGCTTGCCGTCTTTTTGATAATCCGTATACTTTTTCCTATAAAAGCATTGAAAATTCATCTTAATCGCCAATTGGGCGCTGTAGTAACTTGTACATTCCATGCGAATGAGTTGAATATTCATTGCAGTTGCAAGTTCCCTACAAGATAGTCAAGCCTATAATCACGTACATACTCTTTTCAGTATGCTGTAACAATGAATACAACATTTTACAATACATCATTGATATACATAATTATAAGATAATACATGATGGTGGAGGATGAGTCTCTTTTCAACGATGTACCTTTTTTCAGCAATGGACGAAATATTGACTTTTTAAATGGTTAGAAAGTGTTTTTATTCATTATTTGACGGTGAAATCGATAAAACAAAAATTAATTATTAAATGACCATCATAATAATACTCTTTCTTGAATCATATCGTGTATCTTACTTCGTTGAAAAGAGAATACCTATATAAAACTTTCTTTAATCATACAGATATCCCATTATGACACTCATTTAAAAATAATTTTCAAAACAACATTTTAGTCAGCATACAAAATATCTTTAATAATAACAAGCCTATAGAATTCGAATGGATATTGGACACCCCGTATAGGTACTAGAAAGTGACATCGATTTATTTACCTTATCTTCATTATTATGTTTTGAGCTACGCTCCTTCTCCTCCACGCAGTATCAACCGATAGTCTCTTTATCTGAAGAACTTGCTCTACCTGAGGAAATTTATTAAACAAATCACCTTCTCTATCAATGTACTCAATAAAGTCCAATATTTTCTGATATTGGACATTAGCGCACTTAGTCGCAGTTTTAGCGTCATCCCTCTTGATTAGTTCGATCTTGCATATTGCTATAATATTGGAAAGTTGGTCAACTGCCAGCAGAAAAAAGTTTCGGTCTTTATCACATACTATCGGAAAACTATCCCTTTCGATACATTCGTGTAGACGTAAGAAATTGTTCAGGGGTTCGTCTTTAAAGTAAAATTTCTTTGAAAACTCCCATATTTCATCATTGTCCGCGTCAGTTGCTAGTCTCACGTAAAATTGATCCATTAGAACACTGAAAAATCACAGTAAGCTATTATTAAAATAGAACCAACTAACCAAGTGTCAGTGTAAAATAATGAATACAATAAGTAAACCTATCGAGTAGTCGTAGATATGGTACCTACTACTTATCTAAAGAACTGTCCTACATTTGATGGATTTAAGTAAATGCTTACAAGTTCCCGATTCTATTCATTTTGCGTAGAGCCGTAGACGATTACAGTATTCAGGCCCGTAGCCAGAATGAAGTAGCAGGGGTGGCCGGTATTTTCCTAGGTGAGGCTTAAGAAGTTTTTGATAAAGATTTCCTCTGTAATTTTTGTAAAGAAACCATCAACTGTAATTTCCAGATAGCGTTGTAGGTGGGGCTCCTGGCCACCCTCTGGCTACGGGCCTGACAATATTATCGTTAAAGTTATAATTAAACAGAAACCCATTAGCTCAATGTGCGTTTTAATTTGTTTATTAACCCGAATTCGTAAAAGTAAGGCATTTGAATCACATTCGCATTTTTACATGAAACTGAAGGGTCCTGTTTAAAAAATCACACACTATAAGGATTCTGTGGATGATCAAGTTTCTGCATGCGTTAGTACTTTGCTCACCATAGGGTGTTGTCAGGAGGATATGACGCCAAGAGTATGAAGAGTTAAATAGCTGATGAGGAATGCTTAGACCATCAGTCGGTAGTACACAGTGCCATACAATAGTTCTAATCTTCCTACCAGAATGCAAACGTAAGACTTGTAATATTTGCTGTTTAAATGTAGCAGCGTCGACAAGAGGAATCTTGGTCATCTTCTTCGAAGAGTCAAACCTTCTGGCCTAATCAATGCGGGAATGTAAGTACTCAAATTAAATACAGGCACAATATAATTGCTCGACCACTACAAAATGTTCCTTTATAACTTTTACCCTAGAAAATCGACCTTGCTAAAAAATGATCTACGACTGTGAATTATTATTGGAGATTCTAAGGGTCGATTTATTTAGATTAACTGCCAATTAACTACAGGAATAATGGTTACTCGATCACCTTAGACCCTAGTCACTTTAGTAAGACGGATCACATTAAAAAATTACCTTTACATAGACTTGGGGTGCCTCCTGCCTGCAGTAGTTTTATTGACGATAATATTTAAGGGTTGATGTGTTTAAATTAAAGGCAGTTTATTGTACATTCGTGTGTACTCTATTTATTACCTTTGGTAAACGCGATTGTCGAATAAACCCATTCCTCCCGAAACGAAGAGATTTATAAATTCGTGAATCGTGTTAAACCTGTAGAATAACAAAACGATAATATACTGGACAAATTAAAACATAAAAGATTATTAAGAGAAATAACCACATGCCAATTTCATGTACAGGTGACACTTCATTACAAGTTACTGAATTAATTACTTCACATTTGAATCACAAATTTTCACAATTAAGATTACAAGTAATTTACATTTTTTTCTAATTAAATCTAGTATCTAACTGCAACCAATTATAAACTTTAAACTACCACTAATTCTGTAAATATAATCAAAATGTTATCAGAATAATACTACTTACCCCATCGTTATACATATGTATTGCTGTGTGCAATGGCGTGCGGTTAGCTACACGTAACAAAACACCTGACAAGTTAGCTCAACAAAATCAATAATTGAAACTTAAAAGTTTTATGATCTCTTCTTGTACATCTTCGAATAATGACGAGAAATTAACAATTTAGAAGACTCAGTAGCATCGATCAACTTTTTGTTTTATCACCTGAGACAAATCTTGGGCACAAATAGAAAAAATCTGAACATGCGAACTCTATCTGGATAGTACAATGGACTCAAATAAACACAGTTAATTGATTACAAAGACAAAATAATTTATTTTGAAACTTATACGCAATCAATAATCAAGAAAAACCAGAAGTAAAAAAGGAACACAAGACCCCACACGCAGTTGGTCGACAGAAATAAACAAAGAAAGGCTTAAAATTACTTACAGTTTCTCAAACACGAATCCCTTAATCTGGTCGTAATTTAGCACTGATGCAAAAACATTCGCTGAAAGCTTCAAGAAACTTCGCCACTTTTCTACTCCATTGGAACAATTTTAACACAAACTGGCTTAACTGACTGTTCAAACGAGTAATACTTTGACTTTTATTATACAAAAGAAAAAGGTTTCTTTTTCAACAACGACGTAACTTTGTCCGTAAACGGATAAACCGAATTAACTTTTCACAAGGCTTTACTTTAACTGCTTCTGCACCGAGTAATCCAATATCGACGAAACTGCGTTTTTAAACAAAGAGAAATAAACAATTGCTTGGCAAAATTAGCGTTCAAGAAAACACACTCTGACGTGATTTAAACGTGGTTTCCTGTTTAAGGTAAACTACTACCATCACTCCATCAAACTCGTCACCAAAACGGAACGCGTTGCGTCTCTACACTTACGCCGTAATTAATGTGCAAAGAAATCGTATACGTGCCTCTTCGTTATCAGCGATACACATGTGCGTCTCGAAACCTTCGCGATAACAATGTCCTTATAGCACAACGACCAGATGTTTCTTACGTTCTAACGCACAATGTTTACATCTTATCATTTAAATATACAAATTTACACGAAGGATAAAATTTACATAAAAAATTAAACAATTAAAATGAAATCTAAAATGGACAAATAGATACTAACATAACAAATTCTGATGAAATAAACCAATTCCGTGCCGATTCGTAATAAAATCCTCCTATCCAGATTTCAACTACATGAAAACATTTACACATACAGGATGGCCGGTTCTGCCTAAAAAAGTTCACATGACATTTACACAATAGTATAGAAAGGCGGACTATTTCGACCTTTTCGTGTTTCGTCTAGTCGTAATTTAAATAAATAAATAAAAAACTAATCAAACGTCCTGCTGTTGTAATAAAAATCCTTTACTCAAATGTTATTCGTAACATGTAAAGATTTCGATCTTCGTTTATAGAACGAGTTTTGGGATTTAAATTGTACTTCTTCACATACTCACCTTTGTTTGTACTGTCTGCAGCGATCGGGCGATATAACTGTCGATTAAACGGTTTCTCATTTTTTATCAAACTCTTAAAGCTCTAGAAATTCTAAAATACTTGAAATTATCATTAAAAACCTGCACACTAGTGAATGAATTTTTAGTTATTTATTTACAAGACGATAAAGCGAACCATCGATTGAATCATCTTTCATGAGTTGGTTAGTTTCATAAATCATAAAACTTCTAAAAATGTTGTATGTATTTAATTTAGACGTCCAAAATAGCAAGCTTAGGTTATTCCGTCGTTTCCAGGGAAATAATATTGTATTATTATGAAATTTGTTTGAAAAAAATGACACAATGCACAATGGTTTGTTTCACTTTATCTACCCTACTGTTAAAGAGACCCTTAGCTTACTCATTCAAACTTATTTTAACATGTGCGCTGTAATAGTATATTATTATTGTATAGGAAAAAAGCGTAAAAAGCAAAAATACTATACTTTTAATTTCTGATAAAGCATACATATTAAAAAAACCAAATGAGCGGGATTATATATTGGGCGAATTTTGCTGCAGAAGATAATGCAGGGGAAACAATTTCTTGGGGTGAGAGTTATAGTCTTCTCTTACTATTTAATCATCACAGTTTATTCTGAAAAATTTAAAAAGTAATGGAATACGTTGTAGAGTAGATCTAGGTATAAAAAATAGTAGAAAAGCTGGACCCATTTTTATTGTTCCTTCGTATGCTGCACATATACTCCAATTTCTTCATGTGGCTGGTCAATCAGAAATACAGGCGTTCCATCTACACAATAATCGGCATATTTCTTTTTATATATGCAACGAAAGTTCAATTGTAACGCTAATTGCGCGCTATAGTAACTAGAACAATCCATTTGCAGTAGTTGTGCGTTTAGAGCGTTAGCAATTTTCCTACAAAATAATATAAATAAAGAGCGAATTTGTTTTTCCGATTTACCTTGTTTCAATTACTAGTTGCTTTGCTATACCCTTTCCTCTCCAAGCCGGTACTACCGACAATATGTGTATGCATATAATACCATTGACGTCAGGGTACTTGCTAAATACATCTGCTTCTTTGTCGATATAATCTACGAGTTCGACAATCTTCTGTAGATCCGAATTAGTGCTTTTGAAATGGGATTCGGGGTCGTTTCTTTGCTTGAATTCATTCAAACACAAGCCAACTATATTGGAAAGCTCGTCCACTGCGACTAGAGAGACTTCTCGTTTTGAACTATCCTTTTGGGTTCTTGGACTTTTTTGGATCAGTTGATCTGCCAGTCCCACAGAACGACTTAAAGGTTCGTCTCTCCTGAAGATGGTACGCATGTGTTCGGAAATCTGGTCCTCATCTTCTGTAGTGATCGGTCTTATATGAAAAGTCATTTTGATGACTAACTACAAATTATTTATTATTAAATGTGAGGAACCGTTGTTGTTGAAAAGTATAATAAGGACCAAGTGATATTGGTCAAATGCCCACGATGCTAAGTTTAATCAAATATGAAATTATGAGTCGTTCACGGCCGGTTTTATCAAAGTAAATTAATAAGTATAAGTATTCGATCTAAATGAATGCGAAATCGCATATAAATCAGTCTAATTGCAGCAAATTGCATACCTTCTTTACCTTTATAAGGGCAAAGTTAGCATTATATCAAATATTTTACCAAACATTTTATTTTTTCGATAAAGTGTCCAAAATAATTACGTGACAGTAGAAGAGATCTTAGTCGGTGCTCATTCTAAACTCAGCTGCCATCGCGATTTAGTGGAAGAAATTGCGAATGTTAAGGGTATATGTTACACAAAAAATAAGTACTTTTTAGTACTTTCCAAATCTGCAATAAAGTATGGAGCGTTCCATTTAAAAACAAACATAAGTTTGATACGGCACTGGTAAGTATTTTATATTTTAGATTTTGTTTGGTGTTTTTTATGGTAAAGGAATTATGATCCTTGTGGTCTTAGATGTTACACCCTATATATCGTTTCTGAACTGTAACATTACAGGAAGGTCATGAATGGTTGCGCAACTCGAAATTTAAAGGCGAAACAAGAGTTGCTATGGATGTGTGGGTGCTGCACTTGCAGGGAACGACTAGGTAAAGATAAATAATTCCAACCAATACTCGAAACGGAAGTTCAATCGAAATAAGTTACTTGTACAAATAAATTTTGACAATGGTAGTGTGACGAAGAAATCTGAAAAAGAAAAGGGGGAAAATCCATCCCTACGGCGGCGTCCGGAGTTTGAAAATACTGAAAAGGTTCAAAAATATTGCTGGGGAAATATAGGGGCCACTAACTTTGGTTATCTGAAGGTCGTACAGCAAAGTTAAAAGAGAACGATTAAAGAATAGGTACAGAAGGTTTATTGAATTGATTTCTAACAAAAATCGTGATTTCAGGTATGAATGATGATGGTTAGTAAATGAAGGGTGATAACGGAATTGACGCAATGATAAATCAAAAATTAAAGGTACGAGATTTCATTCACAGAGCACAAATATCCTTGACTATAATTAATTAAATAAAACTGGTGTCCGAGGGTTGTTTGCAATAGTTTGTTCGCCTCCTCCGGTGAACGACAGTTGCAGAAACTGCGGAATAAATTGTGCGAAGGGAAGGATAGGGATGAGGGTAGAGGAATCCACTGGAAAGAAATCTGAGGGGTATCGACAGTAGGCTGAAGTCTTGTATTGTACTTGTAGATTAAACAGCAGAAAATAAGAGTTGTCTCTTCAAAACAGAGAAATATACACACACTAGAATTCCGATAGGTAAAGATGCGCGAGAACAAAATTACACTACTTTACTCTCTGCGAATCAGATGTTAGTGCACTTCTGAGCATGCGCATTGGGTGAGCTTCTGAACTGTGTATATTTCTGTGAATCAGGTCTTATTATTAACACGGTTGTTTTATCTAAAGGAAATCCAAATATCCGACAAACAATGGTATATTGTTGTTTTGGACAAATGCTGGGAAAAGTAGGTACTTTAAAGTATTTTACTGCGAGGCAAGATATAGGTATAAATCTCGGCAATTTGTAATGTCTTAATTATGTTTTAGTTATTCTTATTATACATTATACATGTAGTCTTGTAAATATTGTGTCATAAAATTATTCGGTAATGTCCATGTATAGGAATAACCAAAATTCCTCACTTCGTTATCCGACTTTCCCCAATATGTAGTTACTTCCAAATATTTTAGAGACCGGCTCTGGCTATCCTCTAAATTTGGCGGCTTCGCGGTGTCTGACTTGCGCGAAATCAATTTGTGCCAGTTTATTTTTATTGGATTAGCATTCCATTTTTGTTAGTTCAGCGCTTCAAACACACACAAGCAAAACTACGTTATCACTTTTTGATATGAAGGGGCACAGAGAATACATAATATTAATATAAATGATATTACCCATAAAGCAGACACCAAATACACAAAACCACGTGTTACTTTTTACAATGTCACGAGAAGTGCGTGATTTCATCGTCCCCTGAATTGAATGCTAAAATTTGTTCGGAGGTGCCAGAGCCGGAGTTACCAAATCCGTTGGTAACGCCGGCATTCCGCATTTCCGCAAACTATTATGACCTTCCTCAAACATTAGACGCTACTTACATTCCTTGTAAGTTGTATTCTAAATAACTATTTACGCTATCTCGATGGGACAAGCAATAATGCAACTTTAAATGAATTAAGATATACGAGTACATTTTTTTGTATTGTATTTTGGCCCATGCAAGTTCAATAAAATGTTCAATTGCTTGAAATTTAAAACAATTTCTTCAATATTCTCTCGCCTGTCCAAATCTTCCTCAAAAACAAAAACTCAAGCTCCAATTTGGTACAAAAACCGAAAACCAATTTTGAACAAACGATGGATTTGATTGTGCTGTTTGAAGTGTTTAATGTTGAGATACTCTATACCCTCCAGAGAGATGTCAAAACTATTCCGCAATACCGAATTAAACAGAGCATGATGCCATAGCATGACAACGTTAGGAGTTAGAATTTGTCTGTTTTGAGTCTCACTTTCGAATTTTTCATCTTGGTTTTAACGGAATGATCACGACCCTAGCATGATGTGTCGTGTGACGTTTGTTGGTGGTTAATTTCTCTTTCCACTCAAGAGTCGATAAATCCCTTCGAATGCAATACAATTCGCCTGCGAAAGATTTGTCACTGGAATTTCGCCCAGATTTGAGTATATAGGACAAGTTTTCTTAATCTCGAGTAGCGTTGTATATGCTCATTTCGTGTACAATGATAGCAAGTAGCAAGTACTTCGAACGTACATACTTATACGTATCTGTTTGTTTAAACTTTAAAGCAATGTATTAATATCTCATCATTAGATTTTACCAAATAATCGAAGTAATTTCTTAGTAATTTAGTCATTAAGCTAGATCTGACTAGTTTTAGCAAACATAATAATAACCAACATCGTAGCTTTACTTGTTGGATAAATCGTGCTCTGTACTTTCAACTTTGGTGTATAATTATGCAAGTATTACTCACCGCGTTTTTTTTTATTGTTGACACATTCACCTTTGCCTCGTGATATTTGATGCAATTATTGGGTATCCTGTTTTCTTTACTTTCTAATATTCTTTCATTTTCAGCTCGTTTAAATCTACGTTGAAACCAAAGAATACTTACTCTTTGGCTGAAACTAGGATTAGGTACCTACTTATTAATCTATCTCTCCATATAAAGATACGCTCGGTATATCTTGTCAGTTTTATCAAAGTTATTAAGCGACACGGGTAACGACCGATAAGTAAACTACGTACAAACATTGAATATGGTACAAATAATAATAAGCGACTTTTTGGACGTCGATTACAGTTATACACTAATGTTGATTAGTAATATCACAGATTAAATTGTTTGTATTGGTGTCCCAACGAAAATATGTACCCCCCTAAAAGTTAACAAAACAAATGTGATATAAACAAAAAAAACTTATATTTTTACATCGAACTGTTATTTCTTCATCTGTGTTTGTTATGATTTTAGTGTTCGTGTAGTGCATATTAAGACCTATTCTTTTTGCTACAGTGTCCAGTTCTTCCAACATTTCTGACAGTTCTTCTTTCTTGTCAGTTATTAGGGCGATATCGTCCGCATATCTTAAATTATTCAAACGGTGTCCAAATATCTTTAAACCTCTATCTTCCCACTCTAAGTGTTTAAAGACATCCTCCAGAGTCTGATTAAAAGGTTTGTGACATTTTGTACGTCCGTGAAGTTGGCACCGCCCATTGTTCGTATTAATATTATTTGTATGCACATCGTTTGTTTATCGTTTGTTTACGTTTGTTTAACTATTTTCATCGTTTGTTTACATTTCCGTACGTCTTTTTTAAAAATTCAAAATGGGCGAGCTAACTTCACGGTGGCTCGCCCAAAATCATAATTTTGTTTGTTTATCGATGCAGGTCGTTTGTTTATCGTTTGTTTAACTATTTTCATCGTTTGTTTACATTTCCGTAATGTCTTTTTTAAAAATTCAAAATGAGCGAACTAACTTCACGGTGGCTGGCCCAAGATCATACTGCTGCTAAGTTTGCAGGTCATTTGTTTATCGTCTGTGGGCGCGTAAACTTTACTGTCATCATATTATTTTTCATCGCGATATGCATCTTTTAAAAAAATTTTAAATAGACAAATTAACTTTACGGTGGTGCGACTAAAATAATCATTGTATTCGCTTATGAACCACTTACGTATTATTAAATGTGGAAAAAATAGCCTTATTATCTGTTTTGTATATTTTTATTTAAAAAAATTGGAAATCAAAATACCATTATTTTCATCGTCAAATTGCTCATTTTGTTTTTTTAAATTATCGTTGCAAAAAGGAATGATGTAATCTGTCACGGATCAATATCTATGAAATAAAATATTTATCACAGCGAATTGGTTCCCCTGAAAAATATACATGCAGTGATTAGGTAAACGTAAAAGGCTCTAATAATAATAAAATAATAAATTAGTCACTGCTCTTCAAACAATTCTCTAATTTTTATATTAAAATGTATGATGGTAGGTACTTTACCGTAGAACTGCCTACCGTTTTAATATTAGTTGAGAAACTGTCTGAGTATATTTGTCCGCCCGTCTGCTGTATTTAAGCGATTTTACCCTGCGATTACGTGAGGATATATCTTGGCATTTGCCGGACGGGTTGTTTTATTTTAGAATGGATCGAGTCATCTATGAAACACTATAAGCCAGTTGTACCTGTTCAGTTGATTGACATAAATAAGTAACTTAATTGGGAAGTGTTTGAATTGTAACCAATGAAGTTATCTACCATGGAAATGCTACTATTGTAAACATTGTACAACATAGATATAAAATCTACTTTAATGTGTTCAATATGTTTTTCAATATTTACTCATTCTTTGGAGTTGCCCTAGGAAATAGTCTGCAGTACCCTCTATACACATGGTTACTTGTTTCAGTACTTCCGACTCATAACAGTTCACTTTTGGTACGAATGAAACATTCGTTCTAGTCAACTGCGTAAAAGATTGGCTAAAATAAGAATAGAATAATTACTCACAACTAGCCTTAAATTGCAGATTTGGTAGTATGAGGCCAAGTTTGCAGAATCCCACCCCACTTAGGACAAGTGATCCAATTTGTTAGGATAAGATGTTAGGAAAACGTGATTGTCAAATTTCAAATTTTATCACTTGAAAATAAAGCGCGCTTTACAAGGGACCAGGTCTACCACAATAGTTCAACTTCCGTTCAATTGACTGACCTAATAAATAAATTTAATTCGTCACAATTCAAACACTGCCCAATTCTCAACCAGAGCTGGGTACTGCTCGCGAGCTTGAAAAAGCGCTCCAAGCGGAAAAAGCGCTTGCTCGCGAGCACTTTTCGGAGCGGCCGCTTGGTGCTCGATACTCGAGCGTTTACTTAGTGCTCGGCGCAGAGAGCTTCGCTTTAGGAGTGCTCGGAACTCGCAAGCGGTTTCGCTTTGCAAAACAGCTCGATGCTTGCGAGCATTTTTGAAACAATTAGAACGCTCGTCGCTGGAGTGGTTTTTTAGAATTCTCAACCCAGCTCTGTTCTCAACTAATATTAAAACGGTAGGCAGTTCTAAGTACCATCGTACATTTTAATAATTATAAAAATTAGAGAATTGTTTAAAAAACAGTGACTAATTTATTAGAGCCTTTTACGTTTACCAAATCACTGCATGTATGTTTTTCACGGGAACCAATTCGATGTGATAAAAATTTTATTTCATAGATACTGATCCGTGACAGGCGGAAAATTCCAAACCGGCGATTCCAAACCGGCAATACACGAACCGGCGCCGCACCAAGCCGGCGCTCGGTATATGCCGGCGCTTGTCAAGCCAGCGCTCGGTCATGCCGGCGCTTGTCAATTCAGCATATGGGCACTTGTTCAATCGATGCGATCTGCAAATTATGTAACTTACACATTTGGAATGATAACATGGATTGCCATAGTATGAACATGTCGATGGAATTCTTAAATTATTTTAGGTGGGGTGTTGTAGGGTTTGTTATTAGCACTTTAACTATCATTTTAAAAGTGGTCAAACAAGAGGAATCAGATTGAGTAAGTATAACGCGTTTTATTAATCCAATCCGCACAAATCGGAATGCACCGGTGGAACGAGCGCCGGCAAGGCATAGCGCAGGTTGATCGAACGCCGGCAAGGCATAGCGCCGGTTTGAGCAAGCGCCGGTATGATCAGCGCCGGCTTGTGATAGCGCCGGTTAGTCGTCGCCGGTTTGGTTATTGCCGGTTAAGGAATCGCCGGTTAGTAGTGTACCGCGTGACAGGTGATCTGCAAACTTAGCAGCAGTATGATCTTGGGCCAGCCACCGTGAAGTTAGTTCGCTTATTTGGAATTTTTAAAAAAGACATTACGGAAATATAAACAAACGATGAAAATAGTTAAACAAACGTAAACAAACGATAAACAAACGACCTGCATCGATAAACAAACAAAATTATGATTTTGGGCGAGCCACAGTGAAGTTAGCTCGCCCATTTTGAATATTAAAAAAAGACATACGGAAATGTAAACAAACGATGAAAATAGTTAAACAAACGTAAACAAACGATAAACAAACGACCTGCATCGATAAACAAACAAAATTATGATTTTGGGCGAGCCACCGTGAAGTTACCTCGCCCATTTTGAATTTTAAAAAAAGACGTACGGAAATGTAAACAAACGATGAAAATAGTTAAACAAACGTAAACAAACGATATGCATACAAATAATATTAATATGAACAATGGGCGGTGCCAACTTCACGGACGTACATTACGTCGTCCTGTCTCACACCTCTTCTTATGTGTATTGGTTTTGTTCCCCCATACATTTTAATTGATGTTATGTGTATCTATGTATCTGTGGTCGTTCTTGCCTTGTATTTTATTTATTTCAAGTCTACCTAGCCTAGGTCTCAGACATTTCATACTCTTGTTATTCTCTTTTTTTTATTTCGTGTTCTTTCTTTTATTTTCTTCAATGGTTTTTCTAATTGTCCCATTGATTTCTGCATATTCTATTGATTTCCTTTTACCATCTTCGTTTAGTTTTCGTCTTTCCTCCGTGAGTTTCCTTGTTTTTTCTGGGATGTAAATTTCCTTCCTTTTATCCTCTTTTGCAGATTCTTTTCCTATTTGACCATTGTTTTTGTAAGTGTATCGGCTGATTATTCTATATTTTTGTTTGCTTTAGTATTATTTATGATTTTTTGTGTTGCCTTTGTGGTATACCAGAGCATCATTATATTCGGTTTTCTGTTTTTTTTCGGGTTTTCGATAAGCCTACGAAGTCCCATTTTAAATAAATAAAAGTCCTAAAAGGCTTAATCTAACGAATACATTGCTCGAAATAATATCCATTAACCTACCTACAATAATACTCCTATAATCTTGATGCATATCCCGATTTTACATTTCTCAAGACCTCGGGAGTCTACCACATTCGGCGATAATTCGTTGTCGTATTTATATACAAATGCAATTGAACGAAATTATTATAGAGTGAGAGTTTTTATGAGAGATAATGGGAAACTTTCTATTATTATTTATCATTGCTGATTATAATATTTTGCGTGAAGATAAGAAATTATTCCAACTTGATATTTTATCCAAAAAAATTAGAGAGTGCCTATCCATTCAGGCGCTAATTGGCCGTTTTCTGTAATATTTGTTTTAGCTCCATACTTGCATAATTAGTCACAACTGCTAATTACTTTGGTTGCGCCACCGCCAGTAACCCAAAAAGGATCCTCTTCACAAAGAAGAACCGTGAAATATGCTTCAGTATCTCTCCAACCAGCGACGCCTTAAAGCGGTACGTCTTTCGAACTGCCAACCATGGTGGTTTCATCTGCGGTACCTCCCTTCATGTTATCATCTGTTCAAAATCCCAGATCTTTGTATACCAGACAAATACCTTCCAGAATAAAGGATTTTCGTATGGAATTTAGGTGACAATTCAACTCATGTATAAAAAATCGCATAAGCCGCAGTGCAATTGTCACTTTGACAGCGGCAAAAGTTACCTGCAACTTTTCCAGCGACAAATGCACTAGTGGTTTTTTCACTTTTCATTTTGGAACAATTATCGCATTATCCTTTCCCATATGATTAGCTTGACGTCTGTCAATAATTGACTAGTTTGGTGAATTTCTTGTTCGTTAAATTGTCCTGCCGAATTACACTCGAGGTTTATATTTAAACCGAGTAAATTTGGGTTGTTGCAATTCAAATCTGTTTCCTTTTAGCAATTGAACTCGAAAAACTGTCAACCTAAAAATGCTCCACCTTCGGTGTCGCATTTTTATTAGTTCACAGTTTTTCTCGTCTAATTGCTAGGCAACAGATTTTCATTACCTTAACAACCCAAATTTATTCGGTAAAATACAAACCTCTTGTGCAATTATAAGTGATTATTTTTTGACGTTTCTCGAAACCAATAGAAATGTTCAATTTCAGTCATTCATATACGTTCTAGCCAATCACAACATTATTATAGTGAGAATAATCTACTTACATTATTCCCAGCGAGAATTTTTCAATGTACATTGTTTTTAGTGAATGACAACCACATGACAACTATTTTCTTGATCTGACGCGTCTGTCATAAATTTTCAAGAAGCTCGTAAAATGAATCGCAAACGTTTTAGTGAATCATCAGTCGATGAAATAAGTAATATAATCATTGTAAGTAAATGTAAGTGCATTTAAGAATATGTAGGTACCCTAATAAGCAACGCGTCTGTTTGGAAACAATTCCAATTATTTTGCGACGAAATGAGGGGCTATAAATTGGAAGAAACCGCAAAACTAGTCGTTATTTTGAAGGACTAATGGGTTGAATATGCGAAGAAACAGAATGGAGAAGACTATAAAGAAAATCTTAACAGTGATTTTGATTGTAACGTGAAAAAATAATCTATCGAATACCACACGAGAGTTCGATAAATTAGATAATAATTCTCCAGGTCTTTTCTCAAACTTGTTGCCATTTGGCAATAGCCACTCGAGCCCTTTGGGCTCTCGTGACTATTGCCTGGGAACAAGTTTTCTAAAACCTGTCGAATTATTTTCAATTTATTCTCACTCTCTTGTGATATTATTACAGATAATTGCACGTGTGTATTTCAGGGACAATTCAACTCATGTATAAAAAATCGCATAAGCCGCAGTGAATTTGTCACTTTGACAGCGGCAAAAGTTACCTGCAACTTTTCCAGCGACAAATGCACTAGTGGTTTTTTCACTTATTCATTTTCGAATCAATTATCGCATTATCCTTTCCCATATGACTAGTTTGACGTTTGTCAATAATTGATTGGTGAATTTCTTGTTCGTTAAATTGTCCTGCCGAATTACACTCGAGGTTTGTATTTAAACCGAGTAAATTTGGGTTGTTGCAATTCAAATCTGTTTCCTTTTAGCAATTGAACTTGAAAAACTGTCAACCTAAAAATGCTCCACCTTCGGTGTCGCATTTTTATTAGTTGACAGTTTTTCTCGTCTAATTGCTAGGCAACAGATTTTCATTACCTAAACAACCCAAATTTACTCGCTAAAATATGTACAAACCTCTTGTGCAATTATAAGTGACAATTCAACTCATGTATAAAAAATCGCATAAGCCGCAGTGTAATTGTCACTTTGACAGCGGCAAAAGTTACCTGCAACTTTTCCAGCGACAAATGCACTAGTGGTTTTTTCACTTATTCATTTTCGCACCAATAATCGCATTATCCTTACCCATATGACTAGTTTGACGTCTGTCAATAATTGATTAGTTTGGTGAATTTCTTGTTCGTTAAATTGTCCTGCCGAATTCCACTCGAGGTTTGTATTTAAACCGAATAAATTTGGGTTGTGGCAATTCAAATCTGTTTCCTTTTAGCAATTGGACTCGAAAAACTGTCAACCTAAAAATGCTCCCCCTGCGGTGTCGCATTTTTATTAGTTGACAGTTTTTCTCGTCTAATTACTAGGCAACAGATTTTTATTACCTAAACAACCCAAATTTACTCGGTAAAATACAAACCTCTTGTGCAATTATAAGTGACAATTCAATGCGATTATTCAATGACATTTGTCAAACTTCCACCAGTGAAAAGACGCGAAATTTTGCCGTATTAACCGGAACATTCTTCTTAGTTTGTTAATCAATTTCGACAACCGACTTATCACCACATCTTTTAATTTAATCACTCATAACGAATTAGCTTGGAGCACAAAAATTCGAATAGAATCAATAGCAAAATGAAAAGCAACTTCCATAATTTATTTTGACGTTTATTGTTGTCATGGAAATACATTCGCGTGGGTAATTATGCTTAATTTTTCTTTTGATTCATTGAATAGTCCTCCGAATACCATTCGTAGTCGAAGTATTTGTAGATTATTTTTGAGCTGCTGCTCCACTCATGCTAGTTACGCTTCACGCTTCAGCGTAACTAGCATTCGTGACAGCATCTCAAAAATATTCGACAATACTTCGACTACTTATGGTATTATATATGAAAATTCCCACTCTATAGCGGTTTTGATTGACATGCTCTGTAATTAGTACCCGGTACATTCGAGGTCGGATACGACCGACGCCAAATCAAAGGTGAAGGCAGAAATGGATCGGAAAACACCGAGCACAAGTGGCGTACAAAGGAGCTGATTAAATGTGGATGCCAAAAGGGATGCAACGAAGCACGACGTAAAATGCATGAAGCAAAACATGCCGTGTTCGCCCCCTGCAACTGCGATTCATGGCTCTGCGTTTACACAACAAACCCTAACTCATTACCTGATCCTCCCCAGTTGCAACAGAAGGAGTGGGCACCTCCACTGAAACGTCTCACATTAAACTCCTGAGTTCTATAAAAACTTTAGGTGATTTATGCCCGTTTGCACCGACAAATTTAAGCAGAGCTTAAAATCCATGGCAACCATTGTTTCAATAATCGTTGTCATGGATTTTAAGCGACGCCTTAAGCTAAGCTCCACTTAAATTTGTCGATGCAAACGGCCATAATTATGCAAGTTTGGAGCTAAAACATTAAAAAAAATTAAACAAATATACAAATCGGCTACTTAGCGCCTGAATGGGTACGCAACCCGTAGGTACTAATATAAGCTTACCTGTGCCCCAGTCGTCGACCCCAAATACTCTAAACGTGTTTTGGCATAGCTCAATAGAGTCGAAAAAACGTTAACATTAAAATTAGTTTTTTTGAGGGCTCGATGTAGCCGTTACTACTTGGTTTTTCATCCTATTTATATTGATACTTGTTGGTAATCTGGATGTGACCTCTTTAGGAACAGAAATATAATAGCAACGGTTCTTGTTTCGGCATGTCCTTGGACATTCTTCGTAATCGCTAATTTTGTTGGAAACGGAGGTTTCCATATATCTCTCTGCCCCTGCAGAACATTTCTAACCAACGTAACGTTTGAGGGCCATAAGATCACCATCCGTATTTGCCAAAAGTGTCGACGAGGACCACTTTCCAACCACTCAGCTACGCTTCTGGGAATCTTTGATAAACTGTTTATTCCCACGGTATGAACTGTACATTTTTCTTGTGTGAAGAATCTGCTATGGGGCACAATCTACGGTCGAAGTGTATTTATGAACAAACTTCCGGGAATCCTTCCCTTATGAGTGTGAAAGTCTGGAGATACAGATACTCTCCCTTGTTTTAAATGATAGCAATTTTCGGATTCCCCAACTCTTTTCATCGACACATACCAGCGTTTACAATCAATACTGCTACATAAAATTAACCAAAAGTACCGTCCATTTCATGAATATCAATTAGCACAGTATACCTTCGCCACCAAAAATTCTTTCTCGGGAACATCTTTTAAAAACCTCTCCACCTGCCCTCTGTCCATCTTCGCCTTTTTCAGTTTATGTGTTTTGAGGTACCTATACTCAACTCAATATCCACTACATAGAAACCTCGCCCCTTATTGGATTTGTTCCATGAAAATAATGAATTTATAATTCACATTAACTTGCTCATCGAGCGGTTTTGGAAATCTTGTACCTATGATTCGTATGTCATTGGTTTTCGGCCACGGAAACTGAACTTTTCCGCATGGGTAAAGCACCTTATGACACACGTGGTAAATAAATAGCTATATACAATATCACTAATCCTTTGCTCTCGTATTAACTCGTTCAAAAAAGGTCGCTTATCGCAATAGCTCCTGTAGAACGAGTTAGAACAGGCTATTAAAGAGATATAGAAACTAATACTTTTTAAGCACTCCTGTACCTAATGGTGAAATAGCTGATAATAATAATTGATATGAAAAAAAAAACAAAATGACAGCTACAAGAGTATTAGAACAAGTTTTAAAAGGCGTGAAAGGTGCCCATCGTGGTATAATTACGTCTTAAACTTGATTCTAAAAATGGTTTATCATGTTTACAATCAGTTTTATAACACCACATGGACCAAATATAACCACAATACTCGTGTTCTTGTATTTTTATTAATTGATCCCATATATTCGTATACCTATCATTTCCATTCGAAAACCGTGTACCTTCTAAGGAAAAAAGCTTTGCAACAATGTCTACGCATCGTTTAAATGACAACTTAGTTTGGGTATTCTTTATAATTGCTTTACAACTACATCTCAAACACTCAATGTCAATAACAATAAGTATTTTCGCATTATATAATTGGTCGGCCTTCTATACGTATCACATGAAGCCTTTACATTTGTACCATAATCAAGCGTGAATATATAACAATAAAAACTTGACGTTTTAAGGTGAAGTGGTGCTTTGTATAAAAAAGGCGACACAAGTATGAGGATGTGGAAGTTTAAATACCACCTCTCCATTGTCTTTGTAATCTTCGTATTTCAATTCGTAAACGAGCTCATATCCCAGCTTGGAAACTGCCCTTGCACTGAAATGACTTGAACAATCCACCCTTATTAGGTCGTATCCTTGCTCTTGGGCAATTTGTCTTGAACAAATAAATTTAATTAGACAATAAGAAGTTATGAACTAGTTAAATTACAATTCCCATACATTCCTATAATTAAAATTAATCTAAACGTGAATTAAATAAACTGGTTCCTAACAGTATAAGATTAATTAATATCCTGTAATTACTATGTATTTGTTATATATTTACACAGGTATGATTAAAACACATAAATTTGAAGATATAAATCCAAGGATAAACTTTTATAAATAGTACAACATCTAACAATTGATTTTTGACGCTTAATTGAAGGCTATGCATATTCTATACGCAATTAAAGAAATGAAGACTTAAATTTAAATGACATTTAGTTCAATTCTTGACATTTATTGCAATGAAAAGCAGGTATGCATATTGCATCCAAGGGAGTGTAAATTGTTCAGATTTTAGAAAGTATCGTAAAAAAGTGCAATTTGCATTTTAGAAAGGCACTAGATTAATACTAAATAAGTGATTACCATTATTATTACCTGCTTCTTTTTATTAATGCACCAGCAATCCCTTGCCCTCTCCATGCAGAATCACTTGATAATACTCGTATATTTAACACTTTGCTTGATTTAGGGAATCGCTCGTTAAATATTGGCTGAAATATTTTGGCACAGTGATTGAGCAGTTTCAAAATTTTCTTGAATTTCGGATTTTGGCACTGCTCAACATCGCCATAATCCTCCTCTAAAGTACCATTTAAGCTAACGCCGAGTATTTGACCGGAAGGAGTAATGGCCATTACGGAATTTTTCTCGTGAATTTTTTCTTTGCAAAATTGTTCTAATTCTTCGCACGTCGAATCTTTGAATTCGATCAGTTTCACATAGTCATTAAGTGGTTCGTCTAAGAAAAAGTTCTTTTTCAATAACTCCAATACGGCTTCAGTATCTTCCTCGGTAACTATTCTAATTTCGTAATCCATCGACGTTCCTGCCAGTTCAGCTGAATCTGCGATGGAATGTGTTTTGTCAATTGTGCGTGCTATTCAGAGCCCTGTGAGTTAATTTACTTAAAATACAAGTCTTTGTTGTAAAAAAAAGTGACATTGCTGGGCTATTATTCATATTAATGTCAAGAACAACTGTGAATAATTCCTTGTATGATTGATAAACGATTAACACTCCTTATCGAAAGTGCGAGATACATTGTCATGACAACCCTTTCGCTTTCCTACTATTTACCTTCTTATAACAATGGAAATGATTTCTCTTGATATAGAGAAACGTTCTAATAACATGAAACAAGGATTAGCAGATGTAGGTACTCACTCAGACAATCAACATATAGTAGACAAAAACCCGCAAATTTCCAATTTCGGTATGATAGAGATTTTGGTGTCGATATAATCATATTCATAAGATGCTAATACCTCACTGTCAAATTGTGCAACTATAATGCAAGGTATTTTTTTCGATTAAAGAATTTTTTAGGACTTTTCCTCGCTAAAACAATGTGCAAAATATTCCCTTGTTGCCTACTTTTCTCAGAAACGAACTCGCCTTAAAAATAATTACATAAAAAATAGCTTTTTAGAAAAACCCATAAAAAATTATATTTGCATTACCTAAAGAAAAAAAATTATACAGAAAAACTTAATGTATGTAAGTACCTAGAGAGAAATATGTTAAAAATTAGAAATTAATTGGCTCTCCTATTCCATGATTACTTTTTAGTTTTTTACCCGTTCTTAAGTAATATTAGGAGTGGTATTTTTTACCAGAAAATGGGGTATATCTGAATTCGTTTAGTGCCCAAAATATGCTCCTGTAAGGTAGGTATCTACTTGGAGCATAGGTAAAATGTTGTTTATTAAGTAATGCTACTGTTAACATTCAGTAGATCGATCCATAAATAAGAAAATTACTACTAATGTACGCAATAGGGGCATCCCGGCTTCATTTTTTATTTCTGATCTACAAAGTCCAATAAAAATAAAAAGGTCCCGTGTGTCCTCAATTTTTATTTGCGAATAAAATAAACCCAAAATAAATGATTGAAGAGCTGTGTTTTTAGTCCGAATTTGAAACGCTTGAGTTTAAATACGTCACAAACCCACAACCAATCACGTAGAGGTGAGCCGGCAACCTTGTGCGAGGGTCTGACGTTTGTCGGATTTGACGTTTTAAGAGGCATGTTCAACTGCTTCTAACGCGAAAGCACAGCTGTCTATAATTACAAGCCGTGCTGAGAATTATGGCAACACTGCATGGTAGGCCGATTTCCTAATTCAGCTTGACAGATTTTGGGTGTATTTTATATGTGTTTTGGGTGTAATATTCCTATTTACCTGTTTTAACAGAGCGAGATTGCGACAATTTGTGTTACTCCGTACGGAATGAACACTAGTTATTATTCAGGTAAGTTGCTAAACGAAATATATCGATTTGTTGTCATAACCTCTAAAGCAGGCTACTCGTTACTGGACCCTTTACAAGCACTTGTGTTTGTTCAAAGTACCTGTACAAGCTCAAATATGACCAACACACTACGTGGTACGTAAGTACAGTAAGTGTTTATCGTGAAAAAGTACAGTTAGTTTGTATTTCAGGTATTCTAGCACGGACATGTCAAATCGATTTTCTGAAGGAACCTTTCAACTTATTCCCAAGAGTTCATGGTACGGGAATTTGAAGTCTACAGGGCTCCCCTCTTTAAAAGTTTCGTACCTACACCCACTGGAGTAGCGGCTGGCTTAAAGTCTACCATTCCGAATCACACCTGGTCGTTGATAAAACCTCGCTGATGCGCACCGATTTACTGTCCTTTTGCCGAAATTAAGTGCTCAAGCGTGTGCTTCACCTCGACTTGTTTCGACAGAAGTTCACCAATTTCGGAGATCTCGATGGAAAACACATTATGATGCAGTTAGCAATTTACAGCGTTCTGCGTTCCGAATTTTAAAGTCAAATAAAAATGTTATTATCCATTTTTGTAAATAAATAATATATATGCACAATTGTAAGCTGCCTAAGTATCTTTCTTCTATATTAAAACCGCCAAGGCAAAACACAGGAGAGAGGAAAATGCCATTTTTCAAGAGCAACAAGACGCCATTAAAACTAAATCGGCCCACCGATTGACTTTCGAACAACGTTGCCGAACTTCTCAGCATGGCTTGTAATTATAGACGGGTGTGCGCGAAAGTGAACGACAAGTGACAAGTGCCTGTCACAGATGACGCAAGTTACAAATGACATTCTCCTGCAATATTGCCAAGTCGTTTGTCACTTTAATGGTTCTAGCAGCTGATTGGTCGGGCTTATTACGTCACAGAGCCCGCCACAATCATCTCGTTTTGAATAAACCCCTAATACCGCACATGTTCATTATTTTTTTTTCTAATCAGCCACTATTTTTAAATAAACTTTTACTGTCCCAAAAATTGTTTTATGGTTTCAGGTATACGCTTATTAAATTAGAACTATGGAATTCAACTATACTGTAAACCCCTATTTGCCCCATTAAAATTATGAGTTATCCTGCTAAACAAGTCGGACAACAACGACAACGGACTTTTTTCTGTGATGAAAACAATACTGTACCTACCCATGTACCTATGGGCGCAGAAAAGTAATAAAAAAAGTTAGAAGAATAGAAACCGCTTAAAGGACCAGACAAATTCAAATAAATCACCTGAAGAAAAGCAAAACCCCAACAAATTCACATAATGCGAGAAGAACCGGGATAATCCGAAGATATTAAAAAGTTTGAAAAATCTTAAGAAACTGAAGAACCGTATTGATTCGAAGGATGATTCCTAGTTCTTGCTGTACATTATTTATTTAGTTTTTTATCTTTGTGCACAGAAAAGCTTTTGCTTAGAGAGGTGATAAATGGGAAATTCCTTTATTAAATTTAGATTTAGATTATTTTTACTTTTTCCCAACCATATATGGGTAGGAAAAGTGTTGTTTTCATCAGAGAACAATCTTTGTGCAGATAGAGGGCATTTTTAACAGAATTTGTGAATAGTTGGGTTATGTTATATTAATAGATGTTTACCTTCTTGCAATTGATTGCGTTGGAAAATGCGCGAAAAGTAACATACGTACAAATACCTTCCTCTAATTTACGCCGCCGCTGGTAAGTATAATAAGGATCTATTAAAGCACACGATTATTGCCGACCGCGTGACGTCACCTGCGCGACCCGAAACGTTTTTTTTTCCGTGGCAGCTGTACTTTCCTTCAAAATTTTTAAGATATTCCAGATAGTCCCATATTTTTTCGATATCGGAGAAAGGAGTATTAATTAAAAACGGTTTCATTTAGTTTTTGTTGAACGTATCCAAGGTATACGAGTACGAAATGCGAATTACAGTTACTCCCTACTCGAAATGGACGTTTTGATAAATAGAAAACGCAGTATGAATTTTGCTTTGCTTTTTTACTTTATTAGAACTTTATTAAAAAGGGTTTTATTATCTCGGATGTCGGTAGAAATTTTTTCCTTTAATTTTTGTGTCAATTATTTCCATTGGGCACTACCACCATGTTTTTTAAATAAATAGAATTTTCACACACCCTCCCGTCTAGGTCCACCATTGACTACATTCCTAAGAAAATGACAAAGAACAGACAATAACATTTGTATATTGATGGAAACTTTGGCGCACCCGGTGTTTAAAATATGCGATATGTTTGCCTTTACTAGAAGAATCTTTAGTTAAAATTTCAAAAAAATATCTTCGTAAATAAGGCAGTTGACATTGCGCAATTTGCGCTTGCGCACATCTGATTTTTACAGTATGCGATGCACCTGCCTTTACTAGAAGCAATTTAAATTAAAAAAAATCTCTATAAATCAGAAAGGCCGCATTGCACAGTTTGCGCATGTGCACATTAATCGTCAAGATTTTTCTTCATTGAGGTGACATCGAATGCAAAAAAAACGAAATAAATACCCCCAAAACTGAATGAGTAGTTAAGGCCTCGGACGGACGGAGAAAGTGGGCAATAAGCGCCTTCCAACATGAGTTGGAAAATGCGCTAAAGATGTTGCACTGACTTTGAGATCTAGAGATATAATCATGAACTTCTCTTAATTTCCAATGGAGAATTAATTGCTGAAGAGAAAAGGCTTTCATTTAAAGAATTAAGTTTTAGAATTTTCAGAAGTGAAAATTTAAACACTCCCTACAAATGTTTGAAGATTTGTTATTTGTAAATCCTGGAAATGAAGGGCACGTTTTTCGTACGGTAAAAATGAATATTCTCCGCAATGGTAAATGAACAAAAGTTTATTCAAGATGAGTACTTCAAAAAGGAAGAAGCAGAGTCAGAGATGGGCGAGGGCGCCATTAATTGGGAAAATAAAATACAAATGGATACCTTTCTCTCCGTAGGAATTACTTTACTCTTATTCCCTAGGGCCTCATCTTTCAGTTAGAACTATAACGCCGGTTCATTTACAAGTAGATCTTATGAACTAAGCTCTAGCTCTAGTAAGAAAAGAAAATTAAAGATCTTCACACGCAGAAGTTGTGCACAAAACATCCTAATTTCAGCGCGAAAAAAAAATCGTGGGGCAAAACCTCAAAACGGCAATGTATTTCTACTTCAATGAAATTTAAAATCGTTAGAGAAGATAATAGACTTCGAGTAGCAATTAATCATCGACTTACATACCTAATTATTGAAAAGGAGGGTTTAATCTCGGGTTTAATGAAACCATAGCACATCCTTTTAATTGGCATGCGAGAAATAACTTTAAAATCTGTTCAGAATAAGAAACTATTTGCGCGTTGCAATTAATTCATTATATACAAATTTTTTCCTTGAATTTCCGGGGCCTAATTTTTGTGATTGTATTTTGATTACGTGACCATCTTTTAGTACAATATTATGTAAGGTAAAAACTAAAAACACGAAGTTCGCGTAATTTATTTTAAAAGGTAACCTCGACCCAATCTCGCAGAGTTCAAAGGGTGGCAAGATTGATCTTAACCTAAACAGCTTTATGCATCGATTGGGAGCGCAAGTTTCGCTCGACCAAAACCTGAGATAGATCAATCTGTAATAAATATTTATTTGCAGTTAATATAAATATGAGATGATTAGAACTGAACCGAAAAGCAACTCTTCAGTACTGAGACATAAATCAACTATAACTCGGAGATGTAGAAACGGATTAGCATCATCGAATCTTTTGAACGTAGACAGTAAAAGACGAGTGAGGAAGTTCTGTTACAAAAACCGGCATCCCATTCTTCTTATAATCATCATAGTTTAATTCATAAGCGCGTTCAAATCCAATCCTCGCGATAGCCCTGGCACTGAAGTAACTTGTACAATCCACTCGCATAAGGTTACATCCTTGCTCACGTCCAATACTTCTGTAACAACACATAAATCGATGTAGGTATATAATTTAAGTCGTGCTGCAAGTCCTATAAATATCGTAAAGTGCATTAATTTCAATGACTTAAACGTGAGATGCATTGCCATTCATACTTCGTTGCGGCATGTATTGATAAATTGTTATTTTATTAATTAACTTCAGTAATTCAGGTTTTTTTCTAAATTGGAAATGCAAACGTGCAAAAAACTTAAAGTGGCGATACGTGTAAAATTAACACAAGAATTAAGTGAGCGCCATTGTCGCTGATTGCTTTATTTAGAAATCTCTGATTTTGAACTTAGTCAAGGACGAGCACCAAAATGAAATAACAATGCAAGATTCATACCTGGTGTATTCCAATAATTCACGTGCAATTCCCATTCCCCTCCATTCAGTATCAGTCGAGAGTATTTTGACAAACATCACAGATTCCGCTTCTGGAAATTTCTGTAGTACTGCATTCGTTCCCTCTTTGCCACAGTAATCCAATAACTCTAAAATTTGGGCAAACTTCGGATTATTACATTCTTCACTTTCTTCCTCAACCGGATCTTTTCCATTCATCAACCCGTTAAGACACACACCCACTATTTTACCACAAGGAGTGACGGCCATCGCCGAGTGCCCTTCCTTTATGCTTTTTAAGGAATATTCCTCTAGCTCTACACATGTTGAATCGGGAAATTCGATTAACTTCACTGCCAAATTTAGTGGCTCATCTCTAAAGAAATATTTCCGTAAGTGTTCAAGAACTGCGTCACTATCGGCGGGTGTAATCCGTCTTATGTGGATCAGTTTTGAATGGGGAGTTTTAAAAGGTTGTTCAGCCTGCAATGCTTAATTATTAATGTTTGATTTTTTACGCGAAGTACACCAGGGCACAGACCAGATTTAATCACTGAACAAAACAAACTTCATAATTAACAAAATTGTGAAATTAAAGTTTCTCGCAATTAATTACAAAGGGGAATTTAAGTGCGTACTTGACACTCTTTAATAAAATTAAAAATTTAACGAATAATTATCAATTTACCTCAAATTTCGAAATTTCCAAGTTATTAAATTGTTTTATTAAGATTAGAGGCGATTGTAGATCCACTGCCATCGTCTTCAATTAACACTACCACAGGTAAAGAGGGAATGTGCACGCGAAAAATATAACAACTGATTGTAATGTTAGTGTCCTTCCTTATATATATCCTCCCACAAACCCTTTTCTGAAAAATGCACGTGAGCTAAAATCATTTCGTTTTCCACTGCTGGTTCACGGCCAACAGGAAAACATTTTTGTGTCTTAAATCCTGTATATATTTAAATTCTGGTTATTGCATACTAATCTAGTATCATTTGCCCGCGAAAGGATTCTTCTTTAATCTTACATTACCAAAAGAAAATGAAAATTACCTGCGGTTTGTGCAAGTGAATGTGGAGCTTTTCGGAGTAACTGGATCAAGATCAATTTCCGGACGTAAATACTTGCCGCGTGTACACAATGCAAGATATAATTATACCATTATTTAGTCTTAAAAAATGCAAAGTTGTTCTTATCCTTGACTTTCTAGAGATTTACAAGTGCGAAACGTTACAACATATAGTCAGTTTATGTACATCGACATGTACCTAATTAAAGTCGTAGTTGTGATTGAAAAACTACGTGAGTCATCCATTCATCTTTAGATCCAGCTTCACGAGTCGCTCTTTTATTGGTTACGAGAGAAATGCATTTTCAATATGATTAGTTTCTATTCGATAGCAAGAAGATTGAATAATATAGACACTCCTTTCCTTTACGTAACGTTTTGCATCTCCGAATACATTGTTTGTTAACGAGCTTTAAATTTTCTTACGGCACAATCATTAATTTGATTTGGTGGTTACCACTGATTTATAATATTCAATTTGGTGGCTGGTATTTATTTAGTAAGTGTAAAGGGTATCGAAGGGGGATTAAATTTAAACTCATTCGATACAGTTAAGTGGGATGATCACCCCATTAAAAATTGAATTCTCTAACAAGAATTTAGCTTTGCATTTTTTATAGTCGTGATCCAATAGAAGATTAAACTAATTTTTCTGGGATTTTAATAACGCATAAATTAATGAAAACTAACTGCGACCAAAGAATATATAATGATTACTCTTGCACGTGATACTCTGCAAATTTTGTTAATTTTTTGACAGAACCCATATTAAAATCCCTTTAAACTGCCTACGATTTGTTGCTTTAAGCGTTTAAGCACGAATAGTAACGAATTTTAGTAAAAAAATTAATTACCCGTAATCAATTTTCCTTCTATCTTCTATTAGTGATGCTATTCAATATAGCGAAAACGTGACTCGTAGACCCTGTGCTAAAACTCGCAGCTCAGAGTTTATCTCATTTTTCGTGGACACACGTCCCGCACGGAAACCCTGACTGCATGGGATCTTTTTGGAAGAGCATAACATTTCACAACTTTAATGAGTGTTTAAAACATTTTTTTCAGCAAACATCTGCAATAAGAGATTTTATTAAATGGTTTAAAAGAGTTTCAAAAAATGCAGCTTTTTCAGTTCAATTTTTACGTCACTCTGTGATGATCTACATATATCTTTATCTTGCACGATCATGGTTTCATTGAAAATTGACACTTTTACGTGAATTGTAAAGGGCATTTGTGCAATTAAATTCAAATTTGACAATATTCGGGAAAAATTTTAAAAATCACCAGTGAACTATTGCACTATTGCACCCTACATTTACAAATTTTTACACGAAACGGTTTTTTTTCTGAAACTACTTTCGACTCTACCAAGGGTGAAGAAAATGCCATTTTCTTCTCTAAGTGAGGAAAGTAAAAAACAATTGCTGCGCTAATTTCCAATCCAAACGTAAGTAAGATTTATGGATTTACGCAGGGAGCGAGACCTACGCAATGGCTAGAGATCACAATATTTTACTGATTCAATTCAAATGCTCATGGATAGGATACAGAGGAAAGTAAGCGTTGCTAGAAATCCTGATGACCCACTCTCTTCTTGCACTGTGCGATGCATGATTAACAGCAAGATGAATAACCCCTTACTTTTTTTAAGTATTACTACCTCTTCCTCCACAAGTGAAACATCAGTTACTATTATTTTTGATAGCAATTTCGGCAGTTGCAATTCAAGCTCCGTAAGTGCCTCAAAAATACGCATTCTACCGCCAGTCAGGTTCTGAGGCACTAAGATGGCTTGAGCTTTCCTTTTCGTATTATTCTACTACTACCAGTCTTTAAATACCTTCAGTAATATCGTGCGCAAGTATTACAAATCTACCCCAGTGATATTTTGAAATATACCTTCTGCCAATCTTTAAGTCACCTTTTCGGAACATAGAGATTATAAGAGGACCTAGGACTGCTTCCCCAAATTTATTTTTGGCAGGAGAATCTTTTTTAATCTTTGTCTCAAACAGCCGCCTTTTGTTTTTCTGCAGGAACTGCAGAATTTGTCGTCCTAAAAAAGAAGGCAAGGATTCTGAAAACTTGTTCATATAATATAAAATGTAGTGTAAAGAACCCATAAGAGAGGAAAATCAACAATGGTAAAAATTGGTACTACCTTCTTGTTTACGACGGCAGACTGATATTCGGGATATTCCTGATACGGCAGGCGAGTTGTTATATCTTGAATTTAAAAAAAATACAGTCGGAAAAAAATAGGTTAAGAAAATTAAATAAAGCCATAAAATATATCAGAAAAGAAAAGAGTAGGTAAGTGTGAAAAATAATAATAATAGTAACTATAAAATATAAAAATTTACGAAAATATTTTAGGCTGTCAGTTCTTGTTAACAAAAGAGATAAACCTTCGCTTACTGCAAACCTCATCTAATCATTACTTAGGTGACAATAATATACTGGGCGATCAGAGGTTAAATAAAAAAACTACCCTCGTACCCTACACGCTTTACCATATGGCAACAGTAGGAGCTTACGGGTTAATCCCAATCTAAAATATTGATAGTATTACGAGCATGTTATGACTCTTATAATTATTCAGAAGGTTTACGTTTGCGACACGAGCGAGGTTGTTGCGAGTGAATAATAAACCTAGGTTGGTGGAGGGGAAGACAAAAATTATCACACCCTAAAGAGGGCATTGTTAATCTGTTAATCTTCTTCTTCTTGTTTTCTTGAGTCATCCCGAGGGTAGCAACGTGGTCTCACTATTCATTTGTCATGAAATCTCTAAGAATGGAACCAGTTGTAGGTATACAAAACTTTGAAAATTAGTAAAGCTTAAAGTATTTATGGGGTTTCGAACGTATCTACTTAAACAAAATTCAATAAGTTAAATATTGGTTCATGTGTTTGTCGTTAAACGAACTTGATTACAGGATTTTCGAAGAAATCCACTGTGAAATAATGGACCACTTTCACCTGCTGGGAACGAGAAGCACATTCGGATATGGCATACACCCTGCGAGATGTACCAATTTGCCATTTGCGACACTCCTCTCATAAAAATTATAGTTATAGTTAATACAGAACTTAATTTATGAATTTAATATTAGTACTATATTCAGAAAATTTATATGCGTTCTATTAAGTTTAATACTTTATTTAAATTAAAATTATTAACTGGAATAAAATGATATACTCCGTATGCCTATAACCTTTCTGACAACTTTCATTTCTATTAATTGTATTTTTGTCTTCTATTTCTACAATGCATTTGGAAATTAGCTGGGACAAATCGATTAGGGTGTTTTTTGAACACATTCAATCCGCAACTAATATTAGGCGTATCAAAACACTCCATCGCATTTCTTACGTACATTTTTTAGCGCATTTGTTAAGATTGCCGGATGCCGGGTGGCCTTTAAATGTTTTTGTGTACCTCTCCCCATTAATAATCTGCCAAGAAGGTAAACATCGATAAATATAGCATGATACTACCTTATACTCCAACAATGTACTAAGCTATTTCGGTTTTAAAAAAAACTCTAGCGATCGCCATGCAGCTACCTTGGAAGCTAACCTTTCCATAATAACAGTTTATAGCGACGACAAATTATAAATTTCTGTCCTCAAAAAAAATTGGTAAGTAACAAACATGTCATAATCTAGGTTTATAGATTTTTAAGTGCGTGGAGACTTCCTTTTATCGGCGTCTTTAGTTTTACGATGTGATTTTATTACTGGTTTATAATTCCTGTTTTTTACATTAAATCTGAAAATTTCAATAATATTAATTACTTTAAGTTTTATTACTTGTAAACGAAACATAAATATCGTAGGTACTTAATTCTTGCATGGTCAGCGTTGTTTGCATAAGACTTTTTCTAAAATTTAATTACGGAAATTGAATTAATAATTCATATGCCAACCTCTGTCTTGATATATTCTTAGTGACGTTTTTTAATCTTCTACCTTATTATGACCACAACCGTACAAAACTTCAAAAAATGTATTTCGCTACATAGCTACCTCTCCAGCTGATTCTTTCCAAGAAGATTTGTTTGGACTTTAAAAAACGACACTGTTGGTCATTATCTGAAGCAAATTTGCGGCCCCTGGTGATTTTTTTAGATTTTGAACAAAATGAGGTTATTAAATCTGGACTGACCTAATTCAGCAAAGTCAATGGGTGACCCCTGTAACTGTCGTGCCTTTAGTTGGGATGATTTCGGTCGTTTTTTTTAAATTTCACTCATTTTTCGAAACAAAAATACTGTCAGAGCTGGAGAACTCCTTGTATTACACCAAAAAAATGCGCAAAAATAAGGCTCGATTTTTATAATGAAGCTTTTTCATATCCATTTATTACTGAAACATGCAGTTTTGGATAATTGCGAAATTGTCAATTACCTGACTTGAATTTAAGATCCTTGAGTTCATAAAGATTTCCCCCAAGGTTTTTAGTATTTAGTGTATATTAATCAATAATCATCAATCAATTCAGTACCACGTTTCCAACTTTATGAGCTCCTATAATTGCTTGAGAACGTAATGCCTTTAAAATCATAAACAGTTAGAAATAAATTTAAAAAATTCAACCTTCAACTATTTTAGATGTTTGTTTAGCTAAATATTACTATGGGATTTGATTTGTGGCAACTACTGGTCCAAGTTCAACCGCTTTTAAACTGTTTCAGTCTGCTGTATTAATTTCGCAAGTAGTAAAGAAACCATAGTGATGTTTTATATGTTACGGTATATATGAACTATTCATTGCGCGTAGGTATTTACAAACCGCAGTTAAATTTATAGCTTAGGAACTATGCATACCAAATGAGATCTTTGTAGTAGCCTTTTCCATAACTAAAGGTAGGTACCACGCCCAATGAATTGCGTTGACAGACTTTTTCGACAATGCACTTATTTTCGTCAGTTTGATAACAGCACAGTGCCTTTTGTTTCAAATTTGGACACTAGGATGAACATGCAAGTGCGCTTTTCGGTAGGTTCATACATTCAACCTTCATATTTGAGTACCTAATGTAATTCTAATTGTATTGTATAATTAAAATTCACATTCGTTCCTATGAAAATAATGGTTTGTGTTGGGAATGAATATTTATTAACCAGTCACTGGCATATAAGGAGAAGAATTACACCGGCCACCTGGCTTTGTAACGATTATGTAACTCAACCAATTTAATTAAAATTAGAAAATGGTATGCCTGATGTCCATGTTTTCCGCTTCCGATTTCAAATGGTCCCCTTCCAAATTGTGTCACAATAGTGAAAACATCATTACTTGGTGTTTTGTTTGGAAGCTACGTTTCCCATAAATTTGTTTTTTTAAAATTTTTTTCATGTCATAGGGGCAATGGAATTTTAGTGGTTTTATCAAGGTTTTTGGGTATGCCCTTTCCCCTTAAACGAGGGGTGTAAGGATTTGATTTGTAATTTGAATGCACACCGCAGTGCCTTAAATCCCTCATTGCCGTATTAATTCTACGACTCGGCATTTGCTGCTAGCCAGTCCGCCAGCCGGCCAAAGTGAGATTAAAGGCAACCTACCTTTTCAAATAAATTTGCAAAAATGCGCTAGAAAGGCCAGTGCAACGTAATCTTAACATCAGCAGGGCCTTATTATAAATAATTTTGTGCATAGTAATATGAAAATCTAGTGTTTAAGGACAATTTAGTGAACGTTGTAAATGATAGTGCAGTGGCATCCGACGGGTTGACTGGTCCTAAGCGCTGTCGCATCAAGGGAATTTCGGGGAACATACATGAGCGAGCCAGAGCTAAAACAGAACAGCAAGACACAAACCTCGATCTAAAGCTGGTTTTACGTCAACAATAAATTGTTCAGTTTCTTGTTCAAGTCGCTTTGACAAGAAAATTTAACGAATGTAAACACACAATTGGATTGATCAATTTCTTGAGCTCAGTTTCTGGTCGGATTCTATTTTTCTGGCAATTTTTATGTCAATTCAGTAGTACCAAATGCCAACCAACATAAATAAAA